TACTTCGGAAAGTGTACGGTGTGCGAAGACTCCGCCCGCCGAGGCGGGGCCCCCCAGAGGGGGCTCCCCCGAGCCGGGAATGCGGGGCTGCCTCGAGCGGGGAGGGTGGGCCACGCCACCAGGAGATCCCCCCCACTGGCTGCTCTCGCGACTGGGGGTGGTGGTGTCGCTTCCCCTTGTCTAGGGGGAACGAAAGGTGACAAAACAAAAAAACTCGGATGTCCGCGCGGATTTCTCGGATTGGCGCTGGACCCCCCTCCCTGACGCGCGGAGCGCGCCACGGGCGGCGCCGGAGGCGCCGCCGGGGGGCCCCAGCGCCGATCCGAGAAATCCGTTCCGAGTTGTTATGTTTATGTCATTCTCCGTTCCCTTATTGTCGTCATCGCCGTCGTCGTCGTCGCCCGCAGCCCGCGCGGCGGCGAGGTCTGGTCCGTCGGCAGCCTCGCCGCGGCGTGCGCCGCGGCGTCCGGGGCCGCGGCCGTGGCCCGCGCGGCGCGCCGCGGCGGCGGGGGACCGCTGCCCTGCGCCTCCCCGCGGGCTCCGCGCGCGAGCTCGCCCGCCGTCCCGTCCCCCCTCCCGATGTTGCATGTTCTCGCGACGCAGGATCTCAAGGAAGCAATCTTGGCGGCGCGCGGAGGGGGGTAGGGGGAGAGTGGGGAAGGGTTCTTAAAGGAGGCTGCTCCACAGACAAGGCCCGCGCCTTCTGAGATGGACTCAACCAGTGGCGAAGCGTCCTCGCTCGCCTACAGGCCCACCAAGGAATGTTCTAGGAACCTGTCGTGACTTCCACGGAGTGTTCCTAGAACATTTCTGGCTGGGGCTGTCTTGTCTCAACACCTCAAGATTCTGTTCTAAGATCATGTTTTTTGTTCGTCGAACTGTTTGTGGTTCTAAGAAAATATCGCGGTAGGCCTACAGGAATGCCGGGACGGTCGGTGCCTGCTCAATGCACGTGCTTGGGCCTCCTAGATGTCGGCGGCGAGCCCAAAGGGAAAGCGAGAAAAAAAGCGGCCCTTCGGCCGTTTCCCCCCTGCTTGGGCCTCCTTGGAGGCCCTCGTCGCCACCGCCGAAGTCGCCTCGAAATCCTCGTCAGAAGCCCGCGCGAGGAGAGGTCTGGGGAGTAGCGGTATCGGTACCTTTCGGTTCCCGAAGGGGGCTTCAATCGGGCATGTCCCTCTTCAGGAAGAAAATTCAAGAATTGGCAAGAGTAGTCTAGTGACGGTTTTTCGTGCTCGTATCATGCAACACATGGTATCGTTATTATTGTTTGTTTTCTTGTTCTCCTTCTTCCTCTAAAATCCGCCTTTAGGCGTCCATTTCCAGCCGAAGTCTAGGCCTCCTAGATGTCGGCGGCGAACCCAGGGGGCAAGTGAGAAGGGGCGGGCCTGCTCAGAAGGCTCGGAGGTCCCTCAGTTTGGGGGAGTTTTCAAAGCCTTCCCCGACGGCGCAGGAAACTTCTCAGAAGGCCGGAGGGCTTCTGAGAAGTACCACCGCCCTCTGAGAAGGCCTTCTCCTTCTCATTTTCTCCATCGCTCGCCGCCGAAGATGGGGTCCGAATATATGGGATCGGAGGATCGCGCCGCATCGGCGATTCAGCGGCGATGCGGCTCCATGTGGAGCCCGATCTTCTCCACGCCGGCGTCGCCAATGCATCGCCGACGTCGCCCGTGAATCGCTGGTGCATCAGCGATGTATCGTCGGGGCATCTGACACGGTGCCGCTCCTCGGCATGTGTGAGCCCGACGGCACGGTCAGGGACCTGGCACCTCTGGTTGTGGCCAGGTCCCTGCCGTCGCGGCCGCTCGGCGGCCGCATAGTCTTAGGAGACGCTTCCCCTCGGGGCGGTCCTATCCTATCGTGTCCTCGCGTCGGGCTCCCCGTCAGGGTTCATTTTGATCCGATCGATCTGGTTCGATGTCGATTCTGGCCACCCTGACCCGATTCGATGCCGATCTCGCGACGATCCGATGCGGCCCGACGCCTGCGTGGCGCCGTTGCGCATCTTGGCGCAGCCGATCCGATTATGTTTCGATTATGTGCTGTTGCAGCCCGATCCGATGTAGATTTCGAACCGATCCGATTTACTGATTCGATGCCGACTGATCCTGCCCTGCGGCCCACCCTCGGCCTTTAGCTTTCCGTGCGACTTGTCCCTCATAGCGTTCCGCTGGACGTCAATTACAGGAGGAGGAGGAAGAGGAGGAGGAGGAGGAGGAGGAGGAGGAGGAGGAGGAGGAGGAGTTGCCCAGTAGTGCAGAGAGACTGCAGAGGAGACCCACCGAGGGGACGGGAGCCCTGGACCGCCCAGCCCAGCACCCGCTTCGCCGAGACCCCCCCCCCCACAATGTGTCCCAGAGCCGTGCTCTCGCCGCAACGCTGGCCGATTTCGCTTCTGGTCCAGGCGGCAACGATCCTTTTTTTAATTTATATAATATATATATATATATATATGTATATATATTACTGTTTAAAAACATAATATATATATAACACAAAAAACACCACGGTGCACATGTCGCCGCGCCCTTTGCTCCGACGCACGGCCTTCCCTCCTGGGGAGGGCGCTGCGGCCACCGGGGCAAACACACGCCGCCTGCGGGCGCGGCGGGCCTGCCGTGGGCTCTGCCGCGCCGTGCGCGGCGTCGTCGACCTTAGGGGGGCGCGGGGCGCAGGGTCTCGTCGTCGGCGCGCCGTGGGTTCGGCGTCGTCCACGTGCTTGGCATCGCTCGGACGTGTGCGGTTTTTCCTCGGCGAGGACCATCGAGGAGCATTCTTGATCACTTGGCGAAGGAACCACGCACGAAATTGGAACAAAAAAAACACAGGGAATGGACGTCCGAGCGATGGCCAGCCTGGGCGTGTCGAGAACAAACGGCGCGGCGAGCCATGTCAGGACCTGGGACCGTCGAGCACTGATCTGGGGCGACAAGCTGGCCCTGGGGAGACGGCCCCGACCTCGGGCAGATCATAATCGGGTCGGTTGCGCGGATAATCGCGCGTAAGCTGACCGTGTGCCGCGTGAGGTCGCGCGTGAGCGCCCTTGCTTCCAATGTAGATGCCGCGTTGGTGACCCCCTGTGAGCCACCGCGGAAGGGCGCTAGGTCATCTCGCGTAAAGCCCGTTTCATTTCGTAGCCTTGTCTCCCTCGGGTCCTCCCCATACGTCCTCGAAAACTCCCTCCCCATATCTCCGACGATCTGATTTTTCTACCGACGTTTGTTTTTCGATTTCGGCCGTCGGGGGCCGTCATCGCTTCGGATGTAATTCCTGGGAGGTCCATTTCTGATTTTGCCCTGGTCCAGAATCAGGCTTAATCACGCCTGATCCGGCTGAGTCCCGCTTAATCCGCGGCCTCGTATGGCGTAACCGTTCCCGTAAGGGGCTTCATTCTTCTTAAGCCTTCGGGCGAAGACCTCCCAGTCGCTGCCCCCGAACACCGGGAAAACCGTCTCCCGGGAAGCGGTCGGGACTTCTGGGGCCGAGGGTCGAGAAGAATCGGATCGGCGCGCCGTGGCGCTTGGGGACCGCTTTTCCTCCCGTCCTTCTACTGGGCACCGCTCGGACGAGTGAATCTTCTCTCGGCGAGGACCGTCGAGGGGCATCCTGGATCTTCGAGCAACCTGAAGCACGCGCACGAAACCGAAACATGCGAGGTGTATGGGCGTCCGGGCGACGGCGAGCATAGGCTCCCTCGGGTCAGCCCCTGCACCCTTGAGGTCTCCCTCCCCAGACATGCTTGACTCCAAAACTTTCTCGTCGAGCCCGTGAGAACAATACGTATACTAGTCAGAAGATCTACGGAGCAGTGCAGGTCTGTTTTGTAGATTCGACGGATGGTCAATGTTGGGGCAAGTCGATCCTGTAGTCGGTTCTGCTACCCGAGTGTTCGTATCGTGACAAAACAGCACGACGGCGGGCTTTTAGGCAGTCTTCGGTTTCTGGTGACCCTCGCCGGGGCCTGAACAGTCGAAACGCGACGCGGGGGCGGGTCTTCGAGGACTCCGCAGGGAACAAATGTGTTACGACATCGGATGTCTGCCCCCCCCCCTTCCATTCGTCCTCGAGCTTTCCCTTCTCCCCTCCCTCGTCCTCGAGCTTTCCCTCCTCCCCCCTCCGTCCTCGTCGAGTTCTCTTCCTCTCCCCCCTTCTGTCTCTCAAACCCTCCTCGTGGCTCCTGTTCCCCTTCACCGTCGAGCTCTCCTGTCCTCTTGGAAGTTCCGAACCAGTGCAGCGCCGTGGCCATAAAAGCCTCGTTCATTGTTGAGCGTTCCTCATGGTAGCACGATGGCGGTACATACTCAAAAGCTTCCGAAATCCCGCGCGAATATTCGATTTGCGGAGGACCCGTCCTGGCGGCGCCTCCCGCGCCGCGTTTGGCGCGATCCGAGTTCCAGGGAGGTGCGTCGGCAGTTCAAAAAAGTGGCGCGTTGACCATACAGTCAGGTGAGGCAGTTGGGATTCGGGGTGGCCGCACGTTTTTTGTGCTCGAGTCGTTCCTGGAAGATACCTCGGTCTATTGAAGTCTCCAAGGTCCCCCAAATCCGTGCGGTGATTGGCAGTGCAGCAAAGTTTTGTGCGGTTCCGAGGTCGCAACACGGTCTGTCATTGCATTGTTTTTTGTTTTACTCTTCAATTCTCCCTTCGTTTGCGATGCGTTTTCGGGGGGCCTGCTCTGTCATCTAATTTGCTGCTTCTCTTGCATCCGATTCAGGTTTGACGCGCAGTCGTCGCGAATTCGACGGCGATATTGGTGCAGCATCCTTGAGTCTCCCTCCCCCGCCGCCATCATCCGTCTTCCTCCCTCCCTCATCGCTACTCCTGCTCCTATATGCCGTCTGCTTTTCGCCCTCCTCCCTCGTGCGTCCTCCGACACGCACTCATGGTTTTTCTCCTCCTCTCCCTTCTCATCCTTCTCCTTCCTTTCCTCCTCCGAAGGCAGAATTCTTGACATCATCAAGCTCCTCTTCATTCTCATCCTCTCATCCTCTTTCAAGTTCCGAATGGCAGGACCATGCCCGAGCCATCCGCCGTGGCAGTGCAGGGCTCCTTCCCCGCCCGAAATTGCTGCACCTCGGAAATGAGCTTAGTGTGGTAAGCAGGCATTAAACATAATCATTGGCAAGGTTAAAACAGTTTGAATCTGAATGCACTGGCTATTTCTGTAACTTTAACTGGCGGCCGGGCAGTTCGCCGTCAGTGGTGGCCACCATGGAGTATAATTATGCGACGCTGGGCCTCATCCCCCATCATCCCCCTCCTCCCCCTCCTTTTCCTCTTCCTCCTCCCCCTCGTCCCCCACCTCCTACTCTTCCAATCTCCCCCATCCTCTCCCTCCTCCCCCTCCTCCTCTTTCCCCTTCCCGCTTGCCTTTAGAGGCCCCGACGAGGGCCCAGAGCATCGCAACACGTCGGTCGCCCATCCTCCGATCGTCGAAAAGCTTCGATCGCCGGTCGCCGAAGAGCTTCGATCGCCGATCTTAGAACAGTTTCGATCGCCGATCGCGGAACGGCTTGGATCGCCGGTCGCCGCAGAGCTTCGACCGCCAGCCGCCGAAGAACTTTGATCGCAGATCGCCCAAGAGCAACAGCCCCCGATCGCCGACGAACCTCGATCGCTGAAGAGGTCCGTTCGCCCGCCGCCGAAGACTTTCGATCGCAAAACACTGCAGGGCATCGATCGCCGCTCGCCAACAATCAAGCAGTGGCGATGCGTCCCAGCTCGACTGTAGGCGTATTATTGAATGTTATAAGAAACTTGTGGGGTCTGCACGAACTGTTCTTAGAACATTTCCGGCTGAGTCTGTCTTGATTTAACGCAATGGGTTTGTGGTCTAAGAACCTTGGGCTTGTTCTTAGAACCTTTGTGGGTTGTAATAGCATCTCGTGGTAGGGCTATAGGAACGTCGGGGCAGTCGGTCCCTGCTCAAAACAACAGCAACAATCGGCCGTCGGCCCTCAGCCGCTGGGGTGGGGCGCTCGCTCGCCAAGCCGGGTGCGCGCGGCAGGAGACGTGCAGGCTTCCGGGCCGCCCGCCGACCTGGCGCCGAGCGTCGCCGAGGCCTCCCACGGGCGGGTTTTGATCCAAGAGCCGAGCGACCCTCCAGGGTCGAGTTTTGAGTCGGGCACGTCCCTCCACAGAAGAAATAGTCAAGAATAGCATCGACAAACATAGTCTGGGGACCATTTTTCTGCTCTCTTGTTTGTGACCATGTTTGATTATTTGTTTGACCGTTCTTTATGTTCTCGCCCAACATCCGCCGGTAGGAGGACATGCCCGACCGAAATCGATTCGACCCGATCGATCCGATTCGATCTCGGTTCAGGCGCGACTCGATCCCGTTCGATTTCGTCGACGTCGTCGTCGAAGTCGTCGTTGTCGTCGTTGTCGTCGTTGTCGTCGTCGTCGTCGTCGTCGGGCGTCGTTGACGTTGTCGTTGTCGTCTTCGTCTTCGTCGTCGTCGTCGCCGTTCTCGAGTACAGCGGGCCTGCGCAGCACCCTCCCCCGCCATAGGGCATCCGCAGTGCGTCGTCATCGTCGTCGTCGCATCGTCGTCGTTTTCGCCGCCGCCGCCGCCGCCGCCGCCGCCGCCGCCGCCGTCGTCGTCGTCGTCGTCGTCGTCGTCGTCGTCGTCGTCGTCGTCGTCGTCGTCGTCGTCGTCGTCGTGGTCGTCGTCGTCGTCGTCGTCGTCGTGGTCGTCGTCGTCGTCGTGGTCGTCGTCGTAGCCGTCGTCGTCGCCGTCTTCGTCGTCGTCGTCGTCGGGAGGAGGACTGACCGTTGTGCTCGGGTCAGATGAAAGGCTGGGGAAGGAAGGGGGGGGGGTGCGAAATCTGTTGCGCGCAACTGGTTCCGGTCGCCCCGCCGAGGGGCCAGCCCTCGTGGCATGGCCGCTTTCGGCGCCAGGCGCCGCTCGGAAAATCAGCAATGGGAGCTGCTGGGCAAGCTCCCGTTTGGCCACGTCCCCCTTTCGTCCAGCCCGCCTTGCCCACGAGCCCGTGAGGCAGCTGGTGTCCCCCTTGCTGCGCCCAGCGCAGAGGAAACGCATCGGCTCGACAGAGCAGAGCACGGAAAGTGCGGGGCGAGCGCCGACAGCAGTTCTTCTACATTTCGAACAGGTGTCGCCCTGGCTCACGGTCTTTGCTTCTGCCGCCCTTGCCTCCTGCCCACCTCCCCTCCTCCAGTCTGTGCTGTCTGTCGCCTTCCCGCTGGCGGCTTGGCGTCGGCGCTCATCAGTGGAGCCGCCGCCGTTCAATTTCAATCTGGCGGGCGCAACCCGCGACTCGCCCGAGCAAGGACTTTTGATATTAAAAATACGTGCCCCCCCCGCTCCCACACGGATTTGTTAATCATAAGCTGACATTGTGCCGACGATCTGGTGGAGCCACATGTTTCGCATGTTGATGTTGTGCATCTTGGCGCAGCCGACCTGTTTCGATATCAGCTTCGCGGAAATGTTACCCTGTTCGACGTGCGTTCCGATCCGACTTCACGATTCGATGCGGATCGGTTATGCCCGTTTGGGCCATGAAGGCGAAAACGGCGTCCTTCGGACGGGGCCAAGATGAGGACGTTCCTGGAACGCTGTCAAAGCGTTCCGGGATGCTCTGGGCCGCGGCGCCCGACACATATCCCAGAGCCGCCAGATTTCAGAGATACCCCATGCATCCTCGCGCGATGTTATCCCGGCCCTGGCTTCGTTTGACTTCCTGCTTCTAGGCCGCCATGAAAAACAAACTGTGTCCTGGGGGAGAGGGGTGCTGAGGCGTGTCGCCGTTTTCGGGCGTGCGAGGCCCTGCCTGGGCCGCGGGGGTGCCAAAGACGTTGCCTCTCGCTTCGCGGGGTGCACGCCCGGAGCGCGTGCAGTCCAGACGTTGTGGGGCCTTGTGGGAGCGTCTGTGAGGCCCTCTTGGAGGCCTCTTGTTTTTTTGTTTGTTTTATCGCTGCCTTTTGCTATTTTTTTGGGGGGTCTCTTGGGGCCTCTTGGGGGCGTCTTGGGCCGTCTTGTGGCGCTTTTACGCCGTCTGGCTCCTTTGGAGGCCATCTTGTGGGCCTTTCGCGGCCGCCTTAGGGCTCTCTCGGGGTCCCCTTGGGCCGTCTTGGGGGCCTTTTGGACCGTCCGAATTTAGGACGGTCCAACTTAGGACCGTCCTAACTTAGGACTCCTGAGCGCCTGTTTGGGCTGTCTTGGGGTCCCGTTCGGCCGTCTTGGGGTCCTCTTGGGGTCCTCTTGGAGGTTTATGGGGCCCATTTTGGAGGCTGCTTGGGCCGTCATGGACCTTTAAGGATAGAAAAGCCGAGCACGCCCAAATCCTTCAAAATCGAAGGGCAGCAAATGATTTGGGCCTCTGGAGGCGTTCTTGGGGATCCTCTTGGGGCCCTCTGGGTCCTTTTTGCAGGTTTTGGGGTCCCCTTTGGGGCCATCTTGGAGTCGTCTGGGCCCGTCTTGAGGCCATTTTGAGTCGTCTTGACGCACTCTTGGACCCCCAAGATGCCTCAGGGGCCCAAATCATAGATGTTTCATACTTTGTTTTGTACGTTTTCAGGGCCCCAGTAAGGGGGCCGCCACTGTTGCGCGACTCCAGGGGGGTTAGGGGGGAGACATACTAATACACTAGGGTACAATATGTAGGAAATATGCAATCTGTGGACAGATTTGATACGCTGCATTACAGCATCCGCTAACTTGCCTCCAGCAACACGTCACTTCGGGACGTGGATATGCCAAAGACGATTCTGAAGTGGCTTGGTCCACTCCTGCGACCCCCAGCTGAGTAGTGACGTCCAGGGCGTTGGGTAGGCGATTCTGGAGCTGGAGTGGCCGGGTGTTTTTTTTCTCACTCCCGCGAAGGTGGAGGATAAGGAGGGGGAGGAGGAGGATGAGAAGGAGCAGGAAGAGAGCAGGAGGAGCAGGAGGAGGAGGAGGGGGGTCCGCGGGGGTGTCGAGGACGACTCAGGATGAAAGTCTGAGCCTGTGGGAAGGCCTCGGGGCCCAGGGCCCTCGGGCCTCTGGGGGGAGAATGGCCCCTCTCCTCAACCCTTCTCTCCCCCGCCTCCACCTTTCTCCCCCGCTCGCTCTGGGTGGCGACGCCGCCGATTGCCACAATCATCTCGGTGTGGCCCTCGACTACCACCGATTACGATCTGCTAGACCCGGAGCATCGGTGGCGCACATTGCCGCCCTTAGCACATGACCGGCCAACTCGGCCCAGTTTCCCCAACTGCCCTGGATGGCAATCGAGCGGCCTGAGCGCATTGGCGACGTGTGATTTCTGGCAGCTGGAGCCTCCAGACGAGGCGGGAAGTTGTTGGCGTCGTCCTTGCAGGGAGGAATGCTGACTCGATTGGGACCTTGTTGACGCTGCCGGGTTCGTGGGCCGCCATGGGAGGTCGTCAGGTTGTCTTGCGCACACGCGGGCGAGGGTGTGAGGTCCAGGGTGTGAAACTGGACGGCGACGACGACGATGGTGATGACGATTCATATGTTCATGACGGCGACGATGGTGATGTTGATGGTGCTGACGGTGATTGTACAGTCTGTGGCAACGATGAGGCTGACGATGATAATGTCGATAGTGCCGCGCGCAGAAATTTGGCAAGGTTGACGACGTCGACAATGCCGATACTGGCGGCGGTGATGATGATGACGACGATGGTGATGATGGTAGTGGTGACGCGAACGCTTGACATGATTGGGTATTTGTTTGTTGGGCAGTATGAGAGCAACCATAAATACAGAAACGATCGATACGTGTATGACTGTGCACATACATTCACGTGTATTGAAATGTACGTGTGCATATCTAGACATCGCGGGAATTTTAGGTCAGTAGACGTCTACGCGTGGCAGAGAGAACGAGAGAGAGAGAGAGACGGAGCGAGAAACACAACGAATGAAAGAGTGGGGCTGGCGTCCGCAGTTTTTGTTTTTGGGGCGGGCTGACGCAGGGCTTGGGGATGCCTGCGCATTTGGGGGGAGGCCGCGCTGAGCCCAGCTGCTGCGGTCTGCGCCCTGTGCTTGGCGGCGCACGTGCAGGCGTGGTTCCACGTTTCGGACAGCCGGGGCGACATGGGCTAGAAACGATCGGGGCTCACGCATTGGCTACGGGCTCACGCATATGCTACGCGTAAGGGTGAACTTTTGCCCGAGTGAGTGACATTTGGTGCGGGCCCACAGGGGCCCCCGCATCGCTGGCCTGCACGCCTTTGGCGTTCCCGCGGCTCCCTAAGGAAAGCCGACACCAAATTCCACTCTTGCCAACCGAGGGTCACTCTTGCGTGCAGCCGAACGTAACGTGGGTCAGCGCTAACGGGGTCGACACATCCGCTCTGGTTGATCCGGGTTTGGGGAACCAATCGGGACCGATTTCCCCCTTCGGGCTAGTGCGTCCCCGAAGCGATTCGGCTGGCCAGGGCAGCGGGGGGCCTGTTATCATGGCCACCGGACAATCTGGAGGAAGAGCAATGGCCTCAATCATGTCGGATCTCCGCGAAGGCCGGTTAACGTCGCGCGCCTGTCGTTTGAGATCAGCTCGTCGTCACTCCCCGAAGAACGACGGTTGCGAGGTTAGCACGAGGTGAAGCAAGTGGCTATGGAAGGCGGAGGAGAAGCAGTAGCAGCAGATAGAGGATGAGGACGATCAAGGGGGGATGACATCTGTGTGGAAGACGCGGCCAGGGGGAAGAGGGAGCAAGGAGGATGAGAAACAGGAAAGGAGGCTCGACGTAGGAAAAGAGGATGCGGACTCAGGGAAAAACATCAGAGAGGGGATGCTATGAGGGGCTACTGATGCTGGCAGTACTGCTGCGGACATTGGGAGAAGGGGGGTCGTAAGGAGCATGAGAAGGAGAAGGGGGATGACGAGCATCATGATGAGAACGACGACGTCAAGAGAGATTACGAGGAGTTGAATGCTATGACGGCTTGAGAAGATGTAGATGGATTGCATGTGTTTCACATCCATTCTAGGCCTTTGGAGGTTTTGCGGTCCGGGAAACACAACAAGCATTACTCGGGAGTAGAAGCCAGCCCCGGGAACCCAGGGGCACGTGCCTCGAAAGACCGGGTTGGCAGTTGTCTGGGGAGGAGGGGGATGAGAGGTGCAGACGGCGTCATTCGATCGCACATTCTATGATAATAGCCACTCTGTCGTCGTGTGCCGACAGCCACGTCTCGCACCCATCATGTTCGCTGATGTCTTCTGTCGTCGCCGTAATCCAGCGTCCAGGTACATCCCCAGTTATCGTCCAATTGTTGCGTAAACTTTGACGCCTCGGCAAGCTTCCACAGGATTCATTGACACGTCCTGGCGATACTTAGGTTTATGGCGTGATCTGTTCCTGGTTAAGGGGCAATGCTTTGGCCCTCCCCCCTTCCTCATCTCTGCTCCCTACTTTTTCTTTTCCTTCCTCCCCCTCCATCCCTTCCATCAGTTCCTGTTCTTTCTACTCCACGTTTGTTCCTCTGCGCAGAGAGGACATACCGTACTGGTCGCAGTCCTGTATGTTCGTGGCCGCATGGGCACTCATCTTCCACATGCTGGCCGCGGTCGCTGCAAACGCATGCACCAGCAAGGCTGCAGCCTTGGGAGGCGAGGAGAAGACGTGTGTGGCGAGGGGCGGGAGTGGAGGAGGCGAAAGGAGCGGCAGAGGGAGCCGAAAGAGGAGGGGGGATATGTGGAGGAGGATGAGAAGGACGAGAAGGACTAGCACCAGGAACGACGAGGATTTGTTTAGGTCGAGTACACATTCCCGTGTACTCCTCAGTCGGCTCCTGTTCGAAAGCCTGTGGAACGCGTGTATACTTGTATTCCAGCTGCTGACATGTTTCGTGTTCATCCGCTCGGCTGAAGCATTCATCGCAGGACTCCGTTATCACCGTATGTTTATCGCTTCGGCGTGGGGTTTCGCATAACAACGTCATGGTTGATGGATGGGGAAGGCCAGTGTTTCTCATCATCCCCCTCGCCAACCTTCTTCCCACTCACCTCACCACCGTCATCCTAAACACTAAGTGTGCGTGAACTTCGATTTCGAAGTGCTGAGTTGCAGGCAGTTCTAGTTCTCAGCATCGTGGCCGTGGCACCCAACGCCAGCCACGCTCATCTCCCTCCTCCATCGCATCCTCCTCCAAGTCTCGTCGTCCTCCGCCCATTCTTACTTTTCCTCCATGGCCCTGCGAGCGCGCGCGCATGCGCATAGTGAGATGGACTGTCAAGACTCTTTACCAGGAGTGCTATCGGCGACCTCGCTGATCCACCTTCGCAGCAGCCTCCTCGTCATTACCTGTCTCCGCCTCATTCCTCCTTGCATTCCTTCTTGCACTGCATCCTCCTTATCAGCTTGGTTTCCCCTTCTTGTCTGCATCCTCCTTCCCCTGTATCTGTTTGTTCATGGTTCTTCTCATACTCCTCTCCAGCCCGTAACATGTGATTTTCCATAGTGTTTGTTTGTATTGGTTGTCGCGGTAGATAGGGAGAGCCCCAGCCAGGAGGCGAACTGAGGGGAAGGACTAGGTGCAGGGAGTAGGACGGAGAACAGTAGTGTGTCCAAGTCCTCGCAAGAACGCATCATGTTTTTAACCACTGTTCTGCCTGCACTTCGCGTTGCGAATATGTCCTGGGCCGTGCGTCATTCACGCCCCTTGCACTTGCAACGAAAGCCGTGGGCGTTCCGTCTTCACATATCGTGCAGCGTGATTCTCGCCATTGCTCAAAACATGCCGATGTTCTGTGAGGCTGTGGAGATCGACGAATTTGCATCTATCGTGCGAAGCTCCAACGCGTACGTCCAAGGAGCAGGGGGGGTCTGCACGGCATCCAGGCGGGTCGTGTCTGCAGCGGGGCAGGAGGCTTTGAGGACGCGGAGGTGCAAGTCATACGCCACCAGTACTGTCTACAGCAGACGTGGTGCGAGCATGCGGCTGCGAGTGGGCCTGGGCTGTCCAGCGGGGTAGTGCAAAGGTTCCAGACCGGGAGGCTCTGCGGTAGGTCCGTGTCGTGTCGACCGGCGGCGACCCTGCCAGTGGCGTTCAACTTTGAACGCCGCGGGCGACCCAGATTCGCTTGAGGTGGAACGATTTGGACGTCTCGGGCACGGCCGACCGTTCCAGGTTGAACGACCCCCGCGGCGTCAGAAGCCAACGCCGAAGTCGGCACGACACGAACCTGACGCATGCATGCCAGTTGTAAAGCCGCCTGTGCGGCGCAGGAGGTCCGCTTCTCCCTTCGGGAGAGGAGGAGGCTCTCTTGGAGCGGCCCCGTGCCCTCAGCTGTCCTGTTTCGGGGACGTTCCAGCAGCTCTGCGTGTGGCGGTTGCGCTGGGAGAGGGGGGGGGCATCCTGGCCAGACGAGGCGGGGGTAAAGGGGGACGGAGGGGGGGGGGGGGGGGGCGAAGAAGGAAAGGAGGAATGGGGATGGTGAGTGGGGGGGGGCAGGGGCATCCTGTGGAGGCGGAGGACTGGCACGCGGATTTCTGATACTGCTGAGGCGGAGCGGGAGCATGAGGAGCAGTATAATCAGCAAGAGCAGGAGGAATCATGAGGTGGAGGAGACAACCAAGGATGATGAGGGGTGCAAAGCAGAATGATTCAACTTGGAGAAGGAGGAGGATGAGGAGTGTAGGATGATGATGACGACAAGGAGAGGGAGGAGGAATGGCTGAAGATGTCGAGCAGTATTGGGCATAAGGGAACAGCGGGGGAGAAGCAGGAGGAGGAGGAGGAGAAGCAGGGAGGGCACGAGTGCCAGGATGAGCAGGAGGATCATAATAAGCAGCAGGAGGACAGATCTGAAAATCCGAAGGATGAGCATCATGGTGAGAAGGAGTGGGACGAGGGGGGGGAGGATTCGGAGGACGACGATAAGAAAGTTGATAGGGGATAACGTGGACGAGGATGATGACGAGGTCCGAAGGGAAGAGGGCGAGAAACAGGTGGAGGAGGGGCAGAATCATGATCATATTGTTCAGGATACCCCGGCGCTCGCCAGACATCTGCGTAATTGCAGGCGGTAAGGGCGTCTCACTGGTTAGTTATCGTTTTTCTTCCGGATTCTCTACCCTGTCCCCATCCTCTTCTTCTTCCTTATTCGTCCGCCCCTCATGTTGCCCCCCTCCTCCTCGTCTTCGTTTCCATGCTGTCCCCCCTGTTGTCCTACTGCTTCTTGTCCCCGTTCTCCCTGCCCCTGTCCTCCTGCTCCTCTTTACCGTCATCCACCTCAGCCTTCTTGCTGAAAGGGATCGGGAGTGGTGGGAATTTGCTTCTTCTAGCCCGTCACATGCTCTGTGCCTCTTCCGCTGCGACTGGGTGGTTTGGCAGGCGTGTGCTTCGTCGCGTCGCTGGTGTTGCACGGAAGGGTCCGAGGGATTGCGGCACAGTGCGGCCAGCTATGCTCTACCTTTGCGCCAGATCACGTTCCGTCCTTCTGTTCTTCTTTCGTGTAGTTTCTTGCAGACTTCAACGTGGTTGCAGGGCAGGAGTGGCAAGGGAGTGGCTCCAGGATGCGGGCCCACCCGGAGGGTTCCTCACCCGGCGTCGGTTCGAATACTCAATACCCCCACGGAGGAGGGCGGGGGCTTAGGAGGAGGAGGAGGAGGAGGAGGAGGAGCACTAGAGCTGGAGTATGATTAGCAGGATGGGAAGGACATGGTTGGCAGGAGGAGGAGAGAGGAGGAGGCGGAGGAAAAGAAAGAAGAGGAGGCGGAAGAAGTGAAGAATCAGAGCTGAAGCATAAGTTCGGACTGGCAGGACGAGGGAGACGGCGCGGATGGAGACGACGAGAAGGATGGAGACGCGACGAGGACGGGAAACGCAACGACGGCGAGGATGTGGTGCATGAGCACGACGAGGACGGGAATGGCGACGACGGCGAGAACGAGGGTGAGCAGAAGGAGGTGGACGACGATGACGACGAGAGGGACCCAGAACCCCTCGAAACAGAAAAGTTGCATCAACATAACTTGTCGGAGGTCTGCGCACATGTTGTAAATCTACGCTGGGGGCACCCTGGCGGCGCCTCCAGTGTCGTCCCTGGGCTGCCCTGCGCGCCAGGGAGCCGGGCCCAGCGCCGATCCAAGAAATCCGCGCGGACCTCTGACGTTGATGCTTATGTTGCGTTTTCTGTTTCTACCACTCCCGTTGCTGTCATGTTGTTCGCAGCGTGAGCCCTCGGAGGTCTCGACCCCTTCTTCGGGACCAGCTTGTATTCGCTATTAGTTTTTGGTGGCCCCACGGCACGGTAGGGGCCCAAAACGTCAGTCAATACTCACCCACGCAGATCGTCCGTCGCGATCTAATAAGCCAGACAAGGCGATGTAAGTCTAGATCAAACCCTGGCAGATCGAGGTACATCCAGAGATCTCCAGAGAACTCGTTGCCACATCCTGGAAGCGCCCGGGCGAGCCGCGGAACACATGGAGACCTCAGCGAGTCGTAGGGGGAACTCCCGGAGCCCACCGCGTCGCCGATGCCTCGCCGACATCGCGGGTGCATCACAAGTGCATCGCCGATGCGGCGCGTTCCTTCGACCGCACCTACTCCAACCCCATCGGGGAGGCCTCTACAGAAGGCTCGGAAGTCCCCGGGCCTTCCGAGAAGTTTTCAATAGAAGCCCCCCCCCGAAGACCCAGAAAGCACTCCTCTCAGAAGGCGCGCGGGCTTCTGGGAAGCCCTGCCGCCTTCTGAGAAGGCCTTCTCCTTCTCAGTTCCCCCCTCCCGCTCGCCGCCGACACATCGTGGAACCCGTAAGTCGGGCCTGTCCTTCTAGGAGTAATCCGCCGGCCCCCTTGTGGGGCCACCAGGCTGTAAGCCGAAGGTTCGCAGTTTCCTGTACCAGTTGCAGCTTCCAGTTTCCACTTTTACAGTTTTGTTTTTTGCTGCTCATTGTTCCTTGTTGATGGACCGCGCGAGGGGGGAGGCCCAAAACAGGCATTTGTACCACGCCCTGAGCGAATGCTTTGAATTGCTGGGGTGGGTAAACATTGACGCTTCTCACGCAGATCGGCGGGGTCAGGGTCCAAAAACACAAGGGATTTGCCACATGTTTGAAATTCGCCAGCACCCCTCACGCAGATCGGCAGGGTCAGGGACTAAAAACAAAAAAGGTTTCTGCCACATTTTAAAAAATTCAGTGACAGCTCTCACGCAGATCGGCAGGGTCAGGGTCCAAAACGAAAAATATTTGCCACATTTCTAACAACCAGCGGCACCCCTCACGCAGATCGGCAGGGTCAGGGTCCAGATGCAAAGAAGATTTGCTACATTTCTAAAATATGGTGGCACCCCTCACGCAGATCGGCAGGGTCAGAGTCCAAAAACACAGGGGATTTGACACATTTCTGACAACCGGCGGCACCCCTCACGCAGATCCGTAGGGTCAGGGTCAAACAAATTATGAGATCTGTTACATTTTTGAAATTCGGCGGCACCCCTCACGCAGATCCGTAGGGTCAGGGTCGAAAAGCAGACAGGTCCCGACACTGCTTCACGGCGGCGCCCAGACCTCATGATTTAGCTCTTGCATCTCCCATTCTCCGAGACAGGGGGCCGGCGGCATGGTGCGAAGCCCTTACGGATATCATGAGAGATAGTGATACAATAGTCGGGGGACGATTTTTTCAAATCATTTTTGGATATTTGAGCCGTTTGTTTTTCTTTGTTTGGTATTTGTTTGAGATATCGTCCGACATCCGCCTGTAGAGGGGCATTCCCGACCAGGTGGAACCCGCGAGGTCTGGGTCCTGTCCTGGGGGCCGGTTCCTCGGCACCGCGTCCTGGGGCGGAGGGCAAGGCAAGGGGAGGGTGCAATCTGCCCCGGAGCGCTGCCACCGCGGGCCGAAAGAGGTGCTCGATCTCAGGTTCAAGTCGGGCCTGTCCCTCTACAGGAGGGAGATCCAACAACAGTCAACAAATTAGTCAGGGGACGTTTTTGTTGTTTCTTCTTTCTTACTTCTTCAGTTTTATCTAAAACGATTGTGTCTGTGCATCTTTTGAAAATGTCTTGTTTCCCTTCCTAGGGGGACAGGACGGACCTGATTTCAGGTTCAGGTCTCTTGTCGCCCTGCACTGCCGAGCTAATATAAGTTGCAGGCCCGACCTAATTTCGGCGGCGAGCGATGGGTGGAAAGGGAGAAGGAGAAGGCCTTCTCAGAAGGCGGCGGGGCTCCCCAGAAGCCCCCGCGCCTTCCGAGAAGTTTTCTTGGTCTCTAGGTTTTCGGGGGAGACTCAAAAGAAAGACTTCTGGAAGGCGGCGGGACTTCTCAGAAGCCCTCGCGCCTTCTGAGGAGATTGCTGTGTCTTCGGGGAAGGCTCAGAACACTGCTCAGATGGCCAGAGGACTTCCGAGCATTCTCAAAGGGCCCGCCCCTTCTCACTCCCCCCCCCGCGCTCGCCGCCAGTACGTGTTAGCGCCGCCCCCTCTGAACGAACACCCGGGCGGCGTTTTCTGATGGCCATGGGGCCCTGCGAGGGCCCCAGGAGTCCGAAAATGAGCAAACGCAGCCCGCCGTGATTGTTTCGCAGCGCGGGTCGATCTGGGGTTAAGTCGGGCCTGCCCCTCCACAGAAGGGATATTCAAAAATAGTTGAAAAATAATCAGGGGACGATGTTTTAGGTATTCTTGATAATTTGGGGGCTTTTTTATTACTACTTTTAATCTCTCGTCCAAGATCCGCCTGTAGGGGGACGTGCCCGACCTAAAGGTAGATCTGGGGGCCCAACGCCTTCTGTCGTGTGGGTTCTCACGGCCCCGGCGGCTCGTGCTGCTCTCTCACCACGCACGCGGGTTAACCGCGGGCCGTCGTGGCGAGGGCGGGCGCTTGTGTTGCAGCGAGGCACGAGGCCTGAACGGCCACATGGCACGAGACGCCGAAGCCGGCGGGGAGCAGCTTGCATACCAGGCATTGCCCTCGTCAGGACACGCCGCTGCAATACTTCCGCGCTTTTCGGAGGTTGGTTGACCTCCTACCCTGACACGTCGCTTAGCGAATTGGCCGTTTTCGGTTCGCGAGAGGGTGTCGCGGCTGTCATTTTTGCGGGTCCAGGTCCGTCGTTTTCGGTCCTAGGCTGTTTTCACTAAAGGGTGGTTTACCAAAGGGAGGTTGGGAGTTTTGTCTACCGCCGAGCTTTGGCAGGTAGGTGGCCTTCTCAGGCCTGGGGTGTGGCGGCGCGGTGTATGACATTGGGTTGAGCGATGCTGCACCGGACACGGCGTCGGAGCTGGGGTCGAAGCAGGCGTCGGAGTGGGGGCGACGCACGTGATCGTCGCCGACGCAAGCATCAAGACCACCTGATCGCATGAGTCCACCACGCGATCGTAGCCGATGTGGCGGCTCGCGATCGCAAGGGCGGGGCGCGGCCTCGTGGTTTCCGGGTTTGCCGCTCGTGCGAGGGGGGGTTGGTATCGTGTTTTTGATGTTCGTGTCGACGATGGTCACGTGACTTCTGTGGTGGACTCATGCGATCACGTAGTTCTGATGCTTGCGTCAAAGTCGATCACGTGGTGGACGCGTGGATTTTGTTAGCCACCAGCCTGGAACATTTCCCTGCCACTATGACCGGCATCACCCGACCTCGATACCGATCTTGAGGATTCCCCCGGTCTCTGAAGGGGGAGCCCTAAGATTGTCATCGCCTTTGGGCTTGTCAATCAAAGGGGTAGTCAGCATCGTTTAACTGATCCTTGTCCCCATCTCCATCCCCACCCCGATCCCCACCATCCCACCACCCCAGTTGGGGATACGCCCCTCGAGTCCCGAAGGGAACAGCCCACATCTCCGCCCAAGGAGTGGCAAATCGGCCTCTGGGGCCCGGGCCACGCTGGAGGGGACAGGGATCGGTGAAGCGAGGCTCAGAGAGGGATCGAGCCAAGGTTGCTCAGACAGGGGAGTGGAGCGAGGTGGAGGGTTTCTCCGACGGGCTTAGGCGACCGATCCTCCTCCTCCTCCTCATCCTTCTCCTCCTCCTCCTCCTCCTTTCTTCTCCCCCTCCTCCATCTCCTCCTCCTCCTCCTCCTCCTCCTCCTCCTCCTCCTCCCCCATCTCCTTCTCCCCCTCCCCCTCCTCCCCCTCCTCCACCGCCTCCTCCTCCTCCTCAAACTCCTCAAACTCCTCCTCCTCCATCTCCTCCCCCTCCCCCTCCTCCTCCTCCTCCCCTTCCTCTTCCTCCTCCTCCTCCTCCTTCTTCTCCTCCTCCTCCTCCTCCTCCTCCTCCTCCTCCTCCTCCTCCTCCTCGGGTCGCCGAGGGCCCCGGGGGAAGCCGTGCAGGGCGAGGGGGTGGGGGGCGAGGAGCCCAAGTCCCGACGCCACGAGTTTGGCACAGCGTGGACCCCCCAAGGTGAAGTTGGGCGCGTCCCTCTACAGGAGGAATCTTGAAAAACAGTGAAATCATAGTCTGGGGACGATTTTACTATGTTTGATTATTTTGGACATTTTAGAAATATTTCCCCTCAGTGCATGCACTGAAGGGATCCCAGCGGAAGTTGAAAGATTTGGCGAAAGTTTGCCGCCGATTTTGGTAGCCGGCTGGGTTCCCAAGTTCCCGGTTCCAGGTTCCCGGGTTCTCGGTCATTGGTTCCGGGCCGATTTCGGTGGTTTCCGGATTCTCCCAGATTCCCGGGGTCCCGGTCGATCTCCTCCTCGGCCTCCTTACCGATTCCATTGCAAAGCATTCATTGATTCGGGTTTCTTTTTGTTGTAACTGTGCGCTTTCGTCAAACATCCTCCTGTAGGGGGACACGCCCGGCTTAACCCCAAGGGGGTCTGCACCCGTCTCCCCCAGGGCTGGGTCTTCTTCGCCTCGCCTCGCCAGCGGCACGGGCGCCGTCTGAGCCACCATCACGCGGACGCCCTCACGCCTTGCGGCAAGCGTCTGGACGCCTGCTTCTGAAAGTGGGGGCCGAAGCAATGGTCACCAGCCTCGAACTTATCCCCATCCCTAAGATTGACACGCCAAAAGGCGATGACAATCTTAGGGATGCACCCTCAGAAACTAAGGGAATCCTCAAGATCGCCATCGTGATGAGGCGATGCCCAACATAGGGACAGGGATATCTTCCAGGCTGGTAAAATGTGTTCCATCTCGGTTTTGGATCCATGAGTGGACGCTCTGGCAGGATTGTCCTTCCGAGTCGTTTTTTGCACGGTCCCGAAACCCGGCAAGGGCCTTCAGGGGCAGACAGTAGCGAGAAGCCGCCCCCAAACCCTTGGCGCGAACCACGACGTGTTCCGTCGCGCTTTTGTGCCCGTTTTGTCCCCATGACTTGTGGGGGTTCCCCGGCCACCATTGTGTCAATGTTGAGCTACACTGTCAATGTCTCGCTCTCCTGGGCTTTGCCGAGTTCTTGCTCGTCCACAATTGCCACGTGTGCGGAGTTACACCATCATCCTGCCGCGCTCTCCTTGCGCGCTCTCCTGCCGCGCTCTCCTGCTCACAACGCACACCGCCAGAGGCGGCGGAGAGCTTGAGAGATCCATCCACATAAAGGGCGGTCCGACGCCGCAAGGTGAGGGTTGTTTTATTCGGCGTTTCGACATTTGGCGGAAAGGGGGGGAGTGTGGGGGGGTTTGGCTCTGGCTCTGGACCTGCTCATCAGCAGTGCGTCCCATGGGGGAGCCTCCGCCTGCTTGAGACAGGCGCCAACAAAAACAGCCAAGATCTACTCCAGGGGGGGGGGGAGAGGGGTGTGCGAGGGCCCGCGCCGATCGGCAAAACAGTTAATAAAAAACTATCCCCAGGCGCCCCAGAGCTGGAAACACGTTTGGTCCGCAGGGGACGGGGGCCTGGCAGGGGCACCGGCGCGTGCGTCGGGCCGAACGGAAGGGGGGGGGGATCGGGACTGGGGGGGTTACGAAATCTGCTGCGTGCAGCTGGTTCTGGCGGGCCCGTTCCGCGACATCCATGGGCGCCTCTCGGCGCCGGGAGGCGCCGGGAAAGTCAGCGACGCGAGCGGAGTCTCAAATCCCCCCCTTTTGCCATCCCCCCCCCTTTCTCAGGAGGGAAAGAAACACACAGACACAATTAATCGTCGACTCCCAGGAAAATATGCAAAAATATGGGAAGTGGTGGGGAAGACAAAAACCCAGAAAATATGGGAAAATATGGGGGATATTTTTATTTGTGTGTATTTATTTGTGTGTTCCAGTTCCCCTTCACTTTCGCCCGACCCGACCCTCCCGCTCCCTGCTCCCCCTGCCTCCGTCGGCCTCCTCCCGGGGCAGGAGCGCCGAGGGCGCGGCGGCGGCGCTCCCGCCCTGGGCCCCCCGGGTCTCCGCTGCGGAGCCCCTGGGGCCAGGGACCGCAAGCACGGCGGGAGGCTTTTCGCTACGGCTGGTAGGGGGGGCCACATTCGGGTCGGGCGAAAGGGGGGGATTGGGAAAGGGGGGGTTACGAAATTTGCTGCATGCAGCTGGTTTTGGCCTCGCCGAGGGGCCCATTCCTCGATACATGGGCGCCTCCTGGCGCCGGGAGGCGCCGGGAAAATCAGCTACGTGAGCTGATTCTCAAACCCCCCCTTTGCTATCCCCCCCTTTCGCCCGACCCGATGGTAGGGGGGGCCATGCGAAGCCCACCCCTACCCCCCACGATTTCTGAGGGGGGGGGGGGGGGTCACTTCGCTCGGGAGCTCCCGAACGAAGTGAACCCCACCCTCCCCCTACAGAAATCGTGGGGGGTAGGGGTAGGGTTCGCATGTGGCCCCCTAGGTTGGGGCGTTCGTTCAGGAATGTCTCAGCAGGGCTGTTTAGGCGATTTCGTGGGCCGTTTTCGTGCTCCCGAACGAAGTGAACCCTGGGGCCAGGGACAGCACTTCTGGACCCCTTTGGCGCCCGGCCGGAGTGCGGAGCGCAGGCGCCTGCGCCGCGGTCTGCGCGGGCATCGTGGCGCTCGCGTGGTGCGCCCCGCGGGGGGGGGGGGGCAGACCTGCGGGGCGTCGGGGCGTCGGGGGCTCGCCTAGAGGCTGAAGTCGGGCCTGTCCCTCTACACGGGGGAGTCTTCAAAAGTGGTCAAGATATAGTCTGGGGGCTATTTTTTGAATATGTTTGGGCATATTTTGAATATGTTTTGTGTGTTTTTCATTTTTCGTCCAACATCCCCCTGTAGGGGGACACGCCCGACTTAAGGCGAAGCGTCCGGGCTCGCTGAATGAATCGTCGATTCCCTAGAAAATATTAGAAAATATGGGGAATGCGGCGGGGAGACATAAACCCAGGAAATATTGGGAAACATGGGGAATCCTTTTATTTGTGTGTATTTGTGTGTGTGTCCTTGGGCCCCTTGAATTCCATCCGACCAGTTTCTCATCCCTGATCGTTTTCAAAGTCCCAAGGCCCGCTAAGAGCTCCCAGAGGCCGAGAGGCACGGTGGCGGATGTGCGACTCTGCTGGGATTGTCATTGTCAGTCGCGAAGTAAGTGGACCCAGCATGACAGTGAGTGTTGGCTAACACCATGGACTGCGGCTGTGCAAGACGGCGAATTTAAGCACCATTGACATTTTCAAACTCAGCGTCGGCGGGGCCGTTGTCGAAGCATGCCGAACTCGTCCTTCTCCAGGCCAGTCTTACCAGTCGCATCAAGAGCAAAGATAGGCTTGATCCATTGCCAAACTGCTTGGCACACCGTTATTGCGTTCGAGGTCTGCGGGCTGATGGGGATGTAGGCCCGATAACCAAAAAGTCCACATGGCCCCGCTTGATGCGAATTGCGCCCACTCGTCCTTGCATAGACTTCGGTGCACTTTGAAGCGAGACTTCCGCACACCAATCTCGATGTCAGCGCTGGTACTCCAGACCAGACCAGATGTTGCTGCACTGCGAAATTGCGGACGTCGACATCGACTGCAGGGATGCGTTTCGCCGGCAACACCACGATGTCAGACCGCTGGAGCTCCTTGCAGATATATGCACGTCCTTCTGCCTGTCGCACGGATACTTGACTGCAGACCGTGAATGTGCTAGACCAGGCGGTAAGCAGCGAGATTGCCATGTCAGCGTGCAGCGGGCAGAGCACGCGAGTAACAGTATGCGGATAGCCCACAGTTGTCTGCAATGCTGCTTGAGGGGCTGGAGGAGGAGGAGGAGGCGGCGGCGGAGGTGGAGGAGGAGGAGAAGGAGGAGGAGGAGGAAGAGGAGCAGGAGGAGCAGCATCAGGGAGGGGCAGTAGGCGGCCTCACCGCGTGCCGGCAGCGAGCGCGACCCGGCGCCCCAGGCGCCGCTCTCCCAAGGGCGCCCCGCCCGCCGTCGTCTGCTCCGCGGGGCTCACCGTCCACTTTTTCGCCGTGAGGCTCGCGCTCGTGGCCGGCTGGCGCACGCTGGACAGGCCGGGGGCACAGGGGGCCTCTCTCAAGCAGAGAGCATTTCTAGCAAACAATGTTCTAAGCATTTCTTGTGGTTTCCCCGACATGTTCTTAGAACATTTCTGGCTGGGACTGCCCTGTTTTAACTCGTCGGGTTCATGTTCTAAGAGTATTGTTTCTGTTCTTGGAACATCTTCGGGGTCTCTGAACGTGTCGTGGTAGGCCTACGGTAGGTTCGCGTCGTGTCGACCAGCGGCGACCCCAGCGCGGGCGTTCAAGGTTGAACGCAGCCGGCGGCCCAGAATCGATCGATGTTGAACGATTGGACGTTGCGGAAATGGCCGATCGTTCAAGGTTGAACGATCCCTGCGGTGTCAAAAACCAACGCAGGGGTCGACACGACACGAACCTGCCGTATAGGAATGCTGGGACGGTCGGTCCCTGCTCAACTCTTCGGGTGGAGAGGACTTTTCTGAGGGAGGGCCCCTCGGTCGCAGGGGGCAGCGTGGGGGGCGGGAGGGGAGCCTTTCTCGAGGATCTCGAGGCTTCCTGGGGGGGCCTCTCGATCGCAGGGGGCCACGTGATCGCCTCGAGGCTCGAGGCTTTCGGGGGGGGCCTCGATCGCAAGGGCGAGGTTCGGGGGGGCCTCGATCGCCCGAGGTTCGAGGCTTTCGGGGGGGCCTCGATCGCAAGGGGCCACGTGAGGGGGGGGATCGCCTCGAGGCTCGAGGCTTTCGGGCGGAGGGGGGCCTCGATCGCAGGGGGCCACGTGAGGGGGGTCACCGAGCGCGCTCCGCTATTCGCAGGGTGCCTATTCGCAAGCGTCAGTACATGAACATGTCCTTGCCTGCGTAAAGTGTCGTAGATCCTTCGTGGCGAATGCAGGCCGTTTGCGAGCAGTCACTTTGCGAGTCGTGGAACGCGCTTGTCTGTGGGGGGAGTCGGCTCGAGAATCGAGGCTTTCGGGGGGGCCTCGATCGCAAGGGGCCACGTGAGGGGGGGGGATCGCGGCCCGAGGTTCGAGGCTTTCGGGAGGGCCTCGATCGCAAGGGGCCACGTGAGAGCGGGGGGGATCGGCCCGAGGTTCGAGGTTTTCGGGGGGGGCCTCGATCGCAGGGGGCCACGTGAGGTGGGGGGATCGGCCCGAGGTTCGAGGCTTTCGGGGGGGCCTCGATCACAGGGGGCCACGTGAGGAGAGAGGATCGGCTTGAGAATCGAGACTCTCGGGGGGGGCCTCGATCGCAAGGGGCCACGTGAGGGGAGGGGATCGGCCCGAGGTTCGAGGCTTTCGGGGGGGCCTCGATCGCAAGGGGCAACGTGCGGGTGGGAGGGGATCGGCCCGAGGTTCGAGGCTCTCTAGGGGGTTCGTCGGTGGCCTGTGTTTTTTTGCCAGCCCCAGGGACGGCTCTCCAGCAGCCGCACCACGCCGAATGCGTGCCGCGGGGGCGTGTTCGGGAGAGCATGCCGCAGATGGCCGCCAGAGGTCCGAGTTGTGACCCGAGTCGAGGGGCATGCACTCGGGGGGCGATAGAATAGGGGGGGCAACGAGGGTGAAGGGCTGCTCCTCCTCCTCCTCCTCCTCCTCCTCCTCCTCCTCCTCTTCCTCCTCCATCTCCATCTCCATCTCCTCCTCCTCTTCCTCCTCTTCATCCTCCTCGTCCTCGTCCTCCTCGGGTCGCCTACGGCCCTGGGGGAAACCGTGCAGGGCGAGGGCGAGGGGGGCGAGAAGCCCAGGCGCCCGACGCCACGAATTTGTCACGGCGTGGACCCCTCGGTGAAGTCGGGCGTGTCCCTCTACAGGAGGAATGAATACAAAAATGACTGCAACATAGTCAGGTGACGAATTTGTCATACTTGGAGATGTGCTAAGTACTGCCAACTTGTAGTCTGGCACAAATTGACAGTTCTGGAAGATTTATTGAGTTTTTGTTTGGCAGATTCCCTCCAACATCCGCCCGTGGGAGGACACGCCCGACCTAAAGCGAGGGCTGCCGACAAGGGGCCCTTCAGGGGCCCAGAAAGGAGCCTTTCGGCTCCGAGGACACTTTTCTCCCCCCACCCCTCATCTATCTCCCCCCGCGCCCGGCTGAGAGCCGTTCTCGGCATGAAGGCACGGGGTATGGAGGGAAATTGGTGCCGGTTTTGTGTGTCTGTTGCTGGCTCCCCGAAGCCCTCCACGGGCCCCCTGGGCTCTCAGGGCATGGCTCAGGATGAAGGCGCTGTCGTGGGAGGGCCGCGGGGTGGGGGACCTGTTTCTTTCGGGACCCGCGTCAGTCATGCAAATTCTCTCGGGCGAGGAGGACTTGTGATGGGCCTCCAAAGTGTATTCCCCGCCAAATCTTTGAAACAAGTGCATACAATGCTCCGTAGATCTATTGACTGTTCTCCTGGGCCCGACGAGAAAATCGATTTTGGGGCAAAGTCCATTCTGTAGTCGATCACCTGCTCGAGCGATAGGGTGGCGGGGGAGGCCCAGGGTTACGTCGGGCACGTCCCTCGACAGGAGGAATACCCAGAAATTGCATGCGATCTGGGATTATGTTTCCCCACTCAGTGCTTGCACTGAAGGTGTCCTAGCGGAAATTGAAAGATTAGGCAAAAGTTTCCCGCCGATGTTGGTGGCCGGCCGGGTTCCTGGGTTCCCCGTTACTGGGTTCCCGGGGTCCTGGCCTTTGGACTCCGGTCCGATTTCGGTGGGTTCTTGGTTCTCGGGTTCCCGGGCTCCCGGTCCATCTACTTCTGGGTCTCTTTCTCGATCCCATTTCAAACCATCCACTGCTTGGGGATTCCCAGACATCCGACGTCTCGTTTTTTTCGAGACAGGGGCCCCCGACCTCCCGACCACTTCCCCGGGACCGGTTTTTCATCCCGAGTCGCTTTTTGACGGTCCCGAGGCCCGGCGACGGCCCCGAGAAGCCATAGTTGTGAAAAACCTCCGTCTCGATTTTTTCGAGACGCCCGATGTTTGGGTTTTCTTTGGCGTACGTTATTTCCCTTCCAAAATCTGCCTGTAGGGGGACATGCCCGACCTGAGCCCGGAGGGAAAGAATCACACAAACATAATTCATCGTCGATTCCCTATAAAATATGGGAAAATGTGTGAAGTGGGGGGGGGACAAAAGCCTAGAAAATATAGGAAATTATCCCGGCAAAGCAACCTAACAGCGATGTGTAGGAGCATATCTGGAAGCATTCCCCTTAAGATTCAGATGAGAATCCAGTTGTAGAATTCTGCTGTTCTCGCAGTCGTAGTCGCATTCGCGATGACAGTCGCAGTGGCAACGGCAGTCGCAGTCACAGCCTCAGCCTCAGCCTGCCTCTCAGCCTCAGCCTGCCTCAGCCCTCAGCCTCAGCCTCAGCCTGCAGCCTCAGCCTGCCTCAGCCTCAGCCTCAGCCTGCATCAGCCTCAGCCTCAGCCTCAGCCTGCCTCAGCATCAGCCTGCCTCAGCCTCAGCCTCAGCCTGCCTCAGCCTCAGCCTCAGCCTCAGCCTGCTTCAGCCTCAGCCTCAGTCTGCCTTCAGCCTCGGCCTCAGCCTCAGCCTGCCTCATCCTCAGCCTGCCTCAGCCTCAGCATCAGCCTGCCTCAGCATTCAAAATGTGGCCCGGGAGTGAAGTTCTGGGACTCGAAGAACACGAAGTGGCCTACAGTTGGCTCCGAGCATTCAAAATCATGCCCAGGAGTGGAGTTCTGGGAACTCGAAGACCACGAAGTGGCCTACAGTTGGCTCCGGGCATCCGAAATGTGGCCCGGGAATGGGGTTCTGGGAACTCGAAGACCACGAAGTGGCCTACAGTTGGCTCCGGGCATCCAAAATGTGGCCCGGGAATGGAGTTCTGGGAAGTCGAAGGGCACGAAGTGGCCTACAGTTGGCTCCGGGCATTCAAAAAGTGCCCCGGGAATGGAGTTCTGGGAGCGCCAAGAGCGATTTTGCGAGGATGTCCCAGGCGATTTGGGCTTCGGCGGCAGCCGCCCCGGGTCCCGCCCCGACCCCCCCGAGGAGTCATGATGCTCTCCTTTGACCCCATTAGAAACCTATCAGTCTTCGCTGTTAGGTAAATATTGGGGCTCATGTTATTTTGTGTTTATTTGTTTGCGTGACCCAGAGCCTTTTCACTGAGCCCAGGGGATGACGCAGCGACCCCCGATGGCCCACTCCTGGTCGTCCTCGTCCCCCTCCTTGTCGCCCTTTTTCTCGTCCTTCCCATCCTCGTCCTCCTCGTCCTTATCATCTCCTCGTCCTCCTGGTCATCCTCGTCCACTTCTCACTGGCAGCCCTCGTGCTGCCCCCCTGGTCCCTCTGCTGGCCGCCGCCTCGCCGAGGCGCGCGTCGAGGCTGCTCCAGGCGCGCCGCCCCCCCCCCCCCCCCCCCCGAGGGAGCGGGGGAGGGAGCGGGCCTCGCGGGGGGGAGGGGGGAGGGCAGGGGGGAGGGAGTGAGGGGAATGAGAGGCCGAGTACGGCGGCCTGGCCTGGCGGGCGGCCCGAAGGCGGACTTGCCTCAAGGTGCCCGAAAGGAAGGGAAAGGAGGAAGTGGAGGAGGTGAAGGGTAAAGAAGCAGGAGGACAGGGAGGAGGAGCAGGATGAGGATGAGGACGAGGACGAGGACGAGGACGAGGAGGAGGAGGAGGAGGAGGAGGAGGAGGAGGATCGGGAGGAGGAGGAGAATTGGGAGGACGAGGAGGAGGAGGAGGAGGAGAAGGAGGAGGAGGAGGAGGAGGAGAAGGAGGAGGGAGGAGGAGGAAGTGGAAGAGGAGGAGGAGGAGGAGGAGGAGGAGGGAGGAGGAGTGCCCTGGATTGTCCTGCGCAACACAGTGCACGTGGCTGAGGAGGAGGAGGAGGACCAGGGTAAGCCCAAGATGCGTCAGCGATGCATTTCGAAAAGGAGCTGTTGTGTATTTCTTAGCGCGCGTACCCAGGGACGCCAAAAGGTATGATCATACAGTTCAGCATGGTGTCCAGCGAGACCCTCAATGTGAGAAATTGCCGCCCCAAGTCTTGGCAACTGTCCGTACAACTGCTGCAGAAGCATGCGCTTCTGGCCATTAACATCGGCGGCCCTCCCGTCCAGCCCAGTCCGCTCAACATCGGTCACCGGACCCCTCCCAGGACCCCTCACGGGGTCCCGACCCGTTTGCCGAGGTGGATCCAGCCGTGGCGATGAGGAGCTTCGGGGGGTCCAGAAATGACGGAACATGCCTCAGGAGGCCCGTTGACGTCTCGATTGGCCCTCCTCCGATGCTCGGACGCGCAGGAGGATGAGGAGGAAGAGGAAAAGGAGGAGGAATCGGAGGAGGAGGAAGAGGATGAGCAGGACGAGCAGGAGGATGAGGAGGAGGAAGGGGAGGAGAAGAAGAAGAGGAGTTGGAATTTCCGCGGGGGGCAGGGTCGGGCGTCGAGTAGTCGTGCGATCATAGTGGAGGTGAAGGATGGTACACCTTTTGTGCCCTCGAGGGGATCTAGAGGGGGGGTACCCCACTGCCACAAAAGCGGGCACGAAAGGAGCACGTTTCTCCCCCCCCATTCCCAGACACCCGACACCATGATGTGTTCACACCGTCGATCCCCAGGTGTCCCGACTCGCTCCCGGGGAGACCGGTTTCTCATCCCGACCCGAGGAGGTCTCCTCGTCCTCCTCGCCCTCTTCCTCCTCCTCCTCCTCCTCCTCCTCCTCCTCCTCGTCTTCCTTCTCCTCCTCCCCCTCCTCCTCCTCGTCTTCCTCCTCCTCCTCCCCTCCTCCTCCTCCTCCTCCTCCTCCTCCTTTTCCTCCTCCTCGTCCTCCTCCTCCTCCTCCTCCTCCTCCTCCTCTCCCTGCTCCACGCCCGAGAAGGGGGGGGGCAGGCGCTGAGGCTCGCCGCCAGCACCGTCTTCCTGGCGCCCGTGCTGAGGCGCGTCCCGCGCGCCCTTCCTCGGGGCACTGTGGGCGGGGAACTTGGCCTCCTTTCCTTAGGTCGGGCCTGTCCCCCTGCAGGGGGATTCTGGGCGAAAAATAAAAAAGACCGAAAATACCCCCAAACGGTAAACAAATATTCAACAAATAGTCCCCAGACTATTTTTGGAATATGTTTGGATTATTTTTGTGGTATTTTCTAGTTTTCGTCCAAAATCCCCCTGTAGGGGGGCAGGCCCGACTTAATCCTTCTCCCTTCTCGGGCAGCGCCGAGGCGGAACGCACCGACCGACAGTCGCCCACTGATCGCCGGTAGGGGTCTCGCCCAGGGAACGTCCGGATGTTCTATCGTGGGCCTAGGGCCGATGCATCGGCGAGGCATCGCCGATGCCAGGTTGGTGTTTCCCCCCCCCCCCCCCCCTATGCCAGTCCCCTCCTATCGTTGCCGCTACCCTTGCTTCGTCTTCCCCTTCTTGGGCATGTTGGGAGGCTCTCGTTGCCACCGCTGGATTCGCGTCGGAATGTTGGTCACAACGCAGCCCATGAGAGGTCTGGGGAGTATCAGGATCGGTACCATCTGGTTTTCCCACACATGACACATGGTCGGAAGCTTAGCATGCACGCGTTGCCCTCGTCAAGGCGCACCGCTGCAATGTCCTCGCGTTTCGGCAAGTCTGTGGCCCACTCAGATTTGGGGCGTGCCGACGTGGTAGATGATGTTGTCCGACTCATCGATACTGTACGCGGTGGGGGCAGGGGTCGGAGCATGCGTCGGAGAGCAGAAATTGGATCGCAGAACGCGAGGCCAGGGCGGTGGAGACACCACGAGCATATCATAGTAGGCGACGTCGGAAGAGGCGTTGGAAGAAGCGCCGATGTCCACAGAGGCCATCGCCGCATGCGATTGTCGCCCAGACCGTGCGGTAGCGAAGTCGGTATGCAACTGGAGGTCGGAGCGCTCGTCGCGTGGGGACGGTATGGGCAGAGCTGGAACGATTCACCGTTACGCGTGGTGGGGATGAAAGAGCAAGAGCTGGTACGACCAGATCGTTGCCCTGACAGTTGCTGCAACGAAGCATTCGGCTTGAACAACCACATGACGCGAAAAGCCAAACAGAGGGCGGGTCCCGAGTTCCTCTTGGGGATCGGTGCTCCAGGATCGAAGCTCGCGGAGTCTTTGTATTGACGTTTGGGATTTTTTGTGGGGGGCACGCGAGTGTTCTGGGGGCCCAAGTTTCGGGAGGAGAAGCAGTGCTTCCTCGAGGACGTGGCGACAACGAGGAGGAGCAGGAGGAGGAGGAGGAGGAGGAGGAGGAGGAGGAGGAGGAGGAGGAGGAGGAGGAGGAGGAGGAGGAGGAGGAGGAGGAGGAGGAGGATGGGGATGAACAATAGTAATAATCAGGGAGGGGGCCCGAACGGTCATTCACTGTCCCTGGGTGCGTGGCTGAAGTGGGGATCCACGGCGAGGATTATTGCTGTTGTTTTGTTGCGTCGGCCCCCCCCCCCCCGCTCCGCGACCCGCCCGCGACCCACCCGCGACCCACCCGCGACCCACCCCGCGAGCCACCCACGACCCACCCCGCGACTCACGTAAGAAGAAGAAGAATAAGAAGAATAATAATAATAACATGAAAAAGAAGAAGAAGAAGAGAAGGAGGAGGAGGAGCAGGAGGAGGAGGAGGAGGAGGAGGAGGAGGAGGAGCAGGAGCAGGAGGAGGAGGGCGAGGACGAGGAGCAGGAGGAGGAGGGTGGTGAGCCCCCTCGGCACTGCCTGGTCCCCCTCCCCTCCTCCCCCCCCTCCCCACCCCTTGCGGGGGGGGGGGGGGGGGGGCAGCCTCCGAGGGGGCGAGCGGCTCCCGGGGGGGGGAGACCGCCTGGACCAGTCTGGTCGCCCCCTGCGCCTCGCCGACCACGGGGCCCGATGGCGCGCACCCCGCCGGGGAGCGCGCGGATTTGTCGGCCTGGAGACCCAGAGACCCAGACCCCCAGAGCATTGAAAACCAGGGTCTCTGGGTCTGGGTATTGCAAAAATGTTCAATACCCAGAGTATTGAAAAAAAACAAGAGATCCATATTGATTGTTTCAATACCCTGAGTATTGAAATCATCATGACGGTTGGTTTGTCGCCATTTTCGGTCTCTGTGGGCTTTTTACCGGGCTCCGGGGCCGTCAACAAACTATATTCAGGATGAGAAATCGGTCCTGGGGAATAGGTTCAGACCTCGGGGGGTCGACGTGATGAAGAAATCATGACGCCGGGGGTCTGTCTGGGGACGGCTCAGGCCGAGGGGGATAGGGAAAGGGGGGGGTACGAAATCTGCTGCATGCAGCTGGTTTCGGCCCCGCCGCCGGGCCCATTCCTCGATGCATGCTCCCGAAACTGAGGACTCAGGCTCATGGGATTAGGCAGAGGACCTGAGGACACGCAAACTCCGTGCCCAGCGGCATGGTGGCGGATACACTCTTGAACAACGCAAAGAGGTATGAAGGAATGCATCACGATATGAAGGACCACTACCCTCTAGCATAGCGACTCTTACGAACAAGCCATAATATGGGCATCGCTGAGCTGGGAGCCGCTGGGAAAATCAGCTATACGTCAGCCGATTCTCTACCCTACCCTTTGTTATCCCACCCTTTCGTTCCCCCCGAACGGCTGAAGGGGTCCAGATCCGAGTGGTCTGATTCTCGACCACGCGGGCGGCGGCTGAAGGGATCCAGATCCGAGTGGTCTGATTCTCGACCACGCGGGCTGCGGCTGAAGGATCCAGATCGAGTGGTCCGATTCTTGACCACGTGGGCGGCGGCCGACTCCAGTCTGGATGCCGCCCTGACAGCCGTGGCGCCTCCTCCTGGATCAAGGGGGCGTGGATTAGCGACGGGTCCCTCTTCCAAAGAAAATCTAGAATTTCCGCCGCCGAGCGAGGCGGCACAGGCCGCATTTTGGGGAGGGCACCTCCCCCGATCAATGGCTTTGGCGGCCACGCGGTCGCCGGCTGACTCCTATCTGGATCCCGCCCCTGACAGCTGCGGCGCCGCCTCCTGGCGCCCCTTCCTCCCCTCCACCCCAGAAGGCCCACCCCTTCTCACTTCCTCCCTGCGCTCGCCGCCGAGAGAGGGAACGTGTCGTGCAGTTGTGGGCTCATGTGGTCGTGGCTGTCCCGGCGGTTCAGCAGCCCACGGCACGTTCTGGTACTAGGTGGTCATCGTGTCAGCGCGTTGCGAGTTGTCTACCGGGTTGCCTCCTGCGTCTCGCAAGCGACCTTGTGGCAATCCGTCTAACGCGCCGGCAAAGCTTCAGGCCCTGCCAGCTGCCTGAATCGTGCATGTCGTCTAACCTTTCCGTACGGTCTTTTGTTCGCTGAGTTTCTATTTGTTTCGACAGGTCCTTCTCCAGCATGCGCTGTCAATTCCTGCGAGCTTGGTTCCGCAGGTCGATTCGGTCTAGGATGCCGTACTGGATCCATGGCCTGCTTGCGCGCGCCGACTGCCAGTCCAGGACCTTTTTTTGCAGTTGCGCGCGTGCATCCTTCGACCCGCTCTGCTGCAATCCCTGGAGTCCCAGGAGAGTCGGGGTCCCGAGCCACCATGCGCGTGACGAAATCTGAATGGAAGTCCGATGCCATACTCGACATTCTCAGACGCGAGTCGTCTATAAAGAATCCATGTTCTCGTTGAAGTGTCTTAGGAATGCTGATGTCCAGCGCAGCCGTGACCCGCAAGTGGTGCGAGGCGAAGCCGATGTTTCTGATCCAGTGCACATGTCTGACCGCGCCTTGCCATTTGTGTTGTTCGAGAGCGTGGTCGATCTCGGCGAAGTTTGTCGGCGTAATCTCTGCAGCTGGCGTGGCAGCAGGTCAAAGTAGGTGATTCGTTGGTGCGCTTGCCTGTCCACAAATGCGCTCGCAAGCGAAAGCCCGAGAGTCAAAATGGGAAAAGACAGAGCACCTGCCAGTGCAGCGCACCGGGGACGTACTCACGTCAGGAGGGGCGTCCGTCAGAGTCGTGCGTGACATCAGCATTGTGTTTGGCAGCCTCTTTGAGCGCGGCCAGCGGCAAAGGAAGATCCGTTGCCAGGCGAATGGGCGAAGCCTGGGCGGCCTCCGACAAGTTTCGAATGGTGCGGCGGCACGCCAACACCACGCGGAGGCAGAAACTCACTCTCTTCGACTCGCGCGTCATCTCCAGGCTCGCATAACTATTGGCTGGAAGCGTTCTGTTTCAGGAGAGCTGGCCGGGACAATCTTGACGCGTTTCAAGCCGAATGTTCTCGTGAGATCCTCCACATCCCTCGTCGTATGACATTTCGCCAGGAGGTCAGGACTGAAAACAAGAGTCCACGTCTGAGCTGGCGCCCCGTTTTCGACAGACGTTTTTCTTCGGCACAATCTCACATACAATCCCTGCCATGCCGAATCCGCCGCTCCGGGCCACGCGGTTCCCGGCAGGAGCCCTGGAGGCCGCCAGTTCGGGCGCACGGCGCAGATGGGGCCGCCCGCGTCTCGCGCGAGGGCCAGCCGTCAGGCGGCGCGGGCACGTTTGAGCATCGACGGTGCAGCTGGTCCCTCCCCGCCCCTCCGCCCGCCGCCCTTCCCCCTCCCTCGTCCCCCCTCGCCCTCCCCCTCCCTCGTCCCCCCTCCCCCCTCCCTCGTCCCCCCTCCCCTTGGCCCCTCCCCACTCCCTCGTCCCCCCTTCCAGGAGCCCTAGAAGCCGCCCTTGGCCCCTCCCCCTCCCTCGTCCCCCCGCCGCTTCCCCCGAGTCCGCGGCCCTCGGCATCTTCCCTGGCCCAGCTCGGTGCAAAATCTCCGAGTGGAAATTAGGAATGAAGCGGCGCAGATTTGCCTGTGGAGCGCTGCGACTGCAACCTTGATTCTGTTCCGCGGCGGCCAGGACAGTCCCCGTCTTGGTCGCCGCGCTGGCACTGCAGCCGATGTGTCGTACGGTGGGGGCGTTCGTCAAGGCATGCGCCCAGGAAGATCAGACCCTGGAGGATTTCTTATCCGACGAGGGCGGCGGTGATATCCATGGCCAGCCCACAATTGGAGTCCCACGGGCTTCCAGACCCTGGATTCCTTATCCAATGGTTCCTTTTCCAATGCCCTCACCGTATGTCGAGACACGGCGTTTCAGTTCAGCGCAGCAAATGTGTGGGATGAGTTGTTTCCTACATGTCACCAGCGACAGTCCCGTTGTTTGAAGCGATTGCCCTCCAACCGTGCAGCGGGTGCACCATATCAAGCCCTCGGCATGCACATCACAGAAGTCTTCGGCGAGAGCCCCGTTTCGAGAAGGAGCCGCCGTCCATCCAAATGATTGCACGGTGTGGAAGTCCAGGTCATGAAGGTAGAAAGAGTTTTCAAACGGTCCCACGAAAGTTGCCTTTTCGGCAGCGAGCCACATTCCATAGATGCACAGGGTTTGGGTTTTGAGCACGAGAAGCGACCAGCCCTCAGTTCTTGTAGCTGCTGTAATGTTTCAAGATCAATGTGCGCGTCGCTCATGCAAGTACCAAGTTCTGCCATCGTGGTACTAGTGAACACAAATGTTCGTCGCGCTTGGGAAAGAGCCACATGTTGAAAGAGGCTGGTCCTCCATCCGGGTAACTTCTGCACACTTTAAAGACGTATGCGCGGGGCTAAGATGAGAACCACATCCTGTAAATAAGTATTAGGCGACGCATTCGGCTCGGGCTACGGAAACGCCTGGTGATGCGGCAGAGGGGGAATCCGTTATAAGGAAAAAGGGCGGACGAGATGGAGGTTGCTATGTTTGCTTCCGCCTCAAATCCTGGGCTCCAGAGGTCCCTGGGAGGCCCCAGAGGCTTCCAGAGGCTTCCGTCGATCGCGCGCCAGGGAAGGGGGGGGCGGTGCCGATCCAAGAAAGCCCGCGCCGACCCCCCGAAGGTGCTGCTCATTGTGCGGCTGCTGCTTATCATGCTTGAGTCAAGATCTCCTCCTGGCCTCCGCCGCCTGCCCCCACCGCGCCCGCCGCGCCGCCGCCGAGCGTCCTCTTCCTCGGGGACCGCATCCGCGCGATCCAGCTCGGCCGCCCCAGCGGGCGGGGACCGGGGGGACTCGGTCGATAGGCCCGTGCGTTGCCGGAGGCGGCCCCGGCCCGAGATGCCTGCAGCTCGTGCTGTGCAGGACGATCAAGAGAGAGGAAGCATGTTGCCAAAGAATGTCCAGATGCCCAACAACACATGCTTACGACATGTCCTACACAAGTGTTACACATGTTTTAAAACATGTTTCTGACATGCTGAGCACATGTTTCATTTAGCGTGTCCATTGTCATGGCATCCACAAAGCTCGCCCCTCCGCTCTGGAGCCCCTGAGGCCTTCTGAGCCCTGGGTCCAGGCCCCTTAGACCGGGCTGGGGCAGATGGGGTGGAAGGAGCGCGCCGCGCCGCAGGCGCACCTGCGAATGGGCAGACATGGCGGCTTGATTTTCCCCACCCCAGCGTCTCAGATGTATCGATGGGGCATGGGCCATGTAGTGAGGATCTGGAGGCCACCTGCTCTCCTCCCTGGGGAAGCCGGCGCGCCACGCCAGGCGCTGCGAGGGGCGGTGCGTGCACAGTGTGCGCGGACAGGTCTGCTTGTTCGTGGGACGTTCTCAAGAATAAAGACGGCCCAAACATAAATGTTTGGCGCTCCGCGCGGATTTCTTGGATCGACGCTGGGGCCCCCCTGGCGGCGCCTCCGGCGCCACCCCTGGCACGCTCCGCGCGCCAGGGAGGAAGGTCCAGCGCAGATCCGAGAAATCTGCGCGCAGCGCCAAAAGTGTACGTTTATGTTTTGTCCTTCTTCTATCAGGGGTACCCGAAGTTGGGTCGGTTCGGCTGCGTCGCAGTCGGTTGCGCTCGGTCGGTTTAGGTCCACCGGTTTTTATGTCGTTGTTGCGTCGCTGCGCAAGGCTGCTTGCGGCCTTTCACTGCCGATGTTGGATTCTCTGTCAGTTCGGTAGGTTTTTGGTTGTGCGTGGCCGCGGGCTGTTTTGATTCTCCCTGGCCCCCACTCCAGATAGGCTGTCGACGCCCCTGCAGGCCTGAGTGGTTTCCGAAGGCCGAGAGCAGCGAACAAACAGACGTCTTGTATTTGTTCGAGACGCTGGAGGTCTGAGGTTCATAGTTTTGGGTGAGGCTTCAGGACACTTTGGAACTCACATTGAGTCGATGAAGGTCTGGGCCAAGAGCGGAGGGACCTGTCAGTCAGCTGCAGTTCCCTAGCCGCTCTGAGCCATCACTTGTATGTGTTTGCCAGCGTGGACCCCGAACGGTAAAGTATGGCACCGTGGCTGTGCGGCGCATGTGATGCACAAGCGTCTTTGCGGTCGTTTCTCCAAGCTCAAGTCTGCATCCTCGGGGCATCCCCCACAGGCGTACAGACGGGCGGCCAAGATCTGGCACATGGCGAATCCTCAGAACACCCCCGCTGGCGGCAACGGGCAGCAAGAAGCCGATGTCAACTCACTCCGAGAGACAACGCGGCAAGCGCGCTTGGTGGCCTGTTACTTCGATGAGAGCCTGCGGCGCGGGGGGGGGGCCACGAACGCCAGCATGCCATGGGAGGGTTCCCGCGCCGGCGGTTCGGGTGTCAGGCCGACTGGGGACGCCTCCCTCGCAAAGGGCAACGGGCGGCGGGGGGAATCCTCTGGATACCCCGCCAGGCGGCAACTGGCGGCAACGAGCTGCAACTGACCAGAGCGTGACGAATCCTCGGGGCATCCCCACAGGCGGCAACGGGCGGCAGAGGTCGGCCACGGGCCGGCCGGAGCGTGGCGGATGTTCGGGACGCCCGTCCCATTCCTTGGTTGGAAACGCAAGCACGAACCTCCAAGTGCACGCACTGTTTTGAATATTCGTGTGTATGTGTCTGTATCGAGTTGCATTCGGCCCATTCTGCCACCCTTCTTAGGTTGTGGGACAGAGGCCTCTTGGAAGCCTCTCGGATGCGGTTCGGGACTTCTTCGGGGCATCTCGGGGGCCTGTTGGGCGCGTCTTGGCGCCGGATTCGGACGTCTGAGGGACTCGTGGAGCTTCTGGGGGGGGGCTCTTGGTGGCCTGCCTGCGTTGTCGAGGGTCACTTTGGTGCTGGCATCTCCAAATGTCGCCTCGTCTGGGACATCTCTTGAGTTAGGCCCCTCTTGGGGCCCACTTGAGCCGTCTTCGGGCCCACACATCGAACAAATCTAAGCGTCGGATGCCTTGGAAGGAACCTGACGGGCGGAGGCGCAGCCTCCTGGTGGTTGCTTGCTCGACCTGCATGACCCGTGATGCCAGAACGGGTCTTGAGGCATGTCTGATTGGAAGTCTGCCGAAGCAGGGGTGCCACTGGGTCACCCTCACGGAGTCGACTCCAGACGACGCGCGTTGCGGCGAGCGCTGGCAGCAACGGGCGGTCCTGTAACACGCGTGCAGTGCAGGTGGGGAGGGTGCACAACATCCACGGCGTGACCAGATTTGGGTGTCCATGCACATCATCCCTACGGGCGAAACTATTGTGAAGGCCCGACGGCTGGTGCCGTCGACCCTGAAAGACATTGACGACGACCAGGAGGGGGAGCTGGAGGAGAAGGAGGAGGAGGAAGAGGCGGAGATGAGGAGGAGGAGGAGAAGGAGGAGGAAAAGGACTCCCCCCTGGGCCCCCCCTGGGGATGAGGAGGACCAGAGTCGGACCGGCGTGGGAGAGGGGAGGGGATGGAGAGGAGCCCTTGCACATCTTCCCTACGGGCGAAACTATTTTTGTTCCAAGCGACTTGCGAGAATCAAGTCAGATAATTCATATATATAAACCCACGTAAAGCAAGGGCCAATCCAGGTCAATCCAGGTAAGTCCAAAGATCTCCTGGGAAGTCCAGAGATCCCCAGGGAATCTGGAGCAACTCGTCGAAGCTCCAGCGCGAGTCGAGGGACAGCAGAAGGCACTAAGCCGTAAACGACATGAGCCAAGTCTTCCCGCAGCCCGCACTGTAGCTTCGATCCCTCGCTCCCCCAGAGTCGACGAAGCTTTCTCGGAGATGCGTGCGGATGCCTCGTATCGGCACTGGAACCCCCTGGAGGGTGCCCGCCCTCCGACAGGATATGCGTACCTTGCGGTGCTCTTCCTCCCCAAAGGGCACTTCGGCTCAAGTGTCGTTCTTAGGACTTCCGTCGACCTGAACGTTGATGGGCTTCCTTTCCACCACCACCACCACCATAAGTTGGAGGGGGAGGGGATCCTCCTCCTCCTCCTCCTCCTCCTCCTCCTCCTCCTCCACCTCCTTCCCACCTCCAACTTATGGTGGTGGTGGTGGAAAACAGGCCCATCAAACGTGCCGGCGCATCCGACAGGCCTCGCCATGGCTCCGAACCGCGCCCTCGGCGTGCTCGCCCTGCTCGGCCTCTCGGCGGCCGCCGCGCCGCTCAGCCGGCCGAGCCCGCCGCGGAGCCCGGCTGCGGGCGAGGGGCTCTGCAGCCCGTGCGTGCAAATCCCGACGGAGAAAGCTCGGCAGACCCAAACATTGTCGGAGGTCCGCGCGGCTTCCTCGGAGCGGCGCTGGACGCCGCTGGCGGCGACTGCGGCGCCGCCCCCGGGCGGGCTCCACGCGCCGGGGAGGGGCGTCCCAGCGCCGATCCAAGAAGTCTGCGCGGGCCCCCGAAGGTTTAGGTATGTGCGGATTTCTCTCGTCTTGGAATCGGCAGCCAGGCGGTCAACGCCCTGCTGAACTACATCCTCAATGCTGGGGTCGTCGGCGGCTGCGGGGAGCTCTGCAGCAAGGTATCCAGCAAGCCCGCCCAGACAGCATGCGACCTCGTTTGCAGCGTCGTCGGGATCAAGGCGTTCACCAAGGCCCTGAACCATACGGACATTGACCCGATCTACTTCTGCGAGGAGCTCCACGCCTGCACCCCTGGGTCAGCTAACGCTTCGGTAAAGATCCTCGGGGTTCAGGCAGACCCAGCATCAATCAAGAAGGGTGATACGATACAGCTCACGATGCTTCTTGATGTAGGAGTTCCCTCAGGAGTGGGGGAGTTCCACGTTTCTGTTCAAGGCCCTGTAACCGAGCCCGTATCTCAGAGTTTCTTGTTGTCTGATGGCCTCGCGGCGGGCAACCAGTCAGAGGGGGTGAACTTGAAGGTGCAAGACGACCAATCAGGTGACTTCCCGGTGATCTGGTCGCCGGGTACATACACTTTCACGTTCGAGGTCTGCCAGGGAGAGTGCCACTCAAAGCATCCGCATTCCAAGTTCTTCGGTGCCATGTCTGGTTCCTTCCGGCTAAGTGAGACTGGTACGGCTCTTCTCGTGTGAGGATCTAAGGCAGTTGTCTCTCTCTCTCACTCTCTATCCCTCTGCTCTCTCTTTTGTCTGTTTCTTCGCTCTCTCTCACTCTCACCTCTCTCTCTCTCTCTGCCCCCCCTCGTTTTTCTCCATTGTGGTTGAACCTATGAGTTTTGAGTCAGGTCGCTTCATGTATATTTCGGCTGATGCATCTTCTGCAAGCTGATCTATGATAGGTTTCCCGCGCGTCTGGCGATTTTCCGTGTCACGCCTCGCCGATGTCCAGCCGTACGACACAGCTGTCTGCGCATAAGCAGAAACAAGAAACGACATGCAACAGCAATCCAAGACGCGGTTGTGTGCGCCGCACAGTGGTGGGATTATTTGGTGTTTTTTTTCCTCGGCGCCCCCAACTCTTCCCCTTTCCGATGAAGAGTCGTTGCCGTTTCCCTCGTCATCCCTGCCCTCGTTCTCCCACGTGCCAACCACTGGCTCAAGCTTCTTTTGTTCAGGATTGTGCGACGGAGACCCGAGATGCCGTTGCCAATCCGCCTGCTGCGGGTGCTCCTCTGCTGCCTCGCACCGGGCATCCGCTCCTGGAGCTGCAACGACCCAGGCGCTCGGGGACACTCGCTTCGCCCACCAAGGCGGTCCTGGCCCCCCCCCCCCGCCTCACCCCTCGCCCCCCGCGAGGGAAGCGGGGAGAGCCCCCGTCTCCTCCCCCACGGCGCGCACAGTAGCGGCCGACACCTCAAGACGCCAGGGGGGGCGCGGCATGAGTGGATTCTGCCACGGCTGGCGAAGCGTCAACGCCGCACGTCGACTCCTCCTCCTCCTCCTCCTCCTCCTCTTCCTCCTCCTCCTCCTCCTCCCAAGGCTTCCAGCCTCCCAGTCTACACGACTCCAGCAAGAAGGGGCCGCCCCAGTGGCCCAATGGGGTCCCTCGGGCGCTCCTCGGGCCTCCCGAAGCACCCGCTGCCAGCCCGTGCCTTGGCGCTCCGTGGAGGAGCGCCCGCCTTCTCGAGCCCGCGCCGCGGGAGCTCCGCTTGCCGAAGCTCCGGCGCGACCCGACAGTCGACACTCCCCCATTCTGTAAGAACGGTTTTTTGAAGGCAGATCTGCCTTCAAAAAACCGTTCTTACAGAGTAGACCATTTTTTGAAGGCAGATCTGTCTTCAAAAAACCTGTCTTACACAGTCGACACTCCCCCATTGCTCCGCCCCGCCCTCCCAGGCTCCCGGAGCCACTGGATAACCTCCCCCCCTTGCCTCCCTCCCCCCCCCCGCAGGGGATGAGGGAGGAGGAGCAGAAGGGGGATCCGTTCCGTCGGCGTGGCCGGGGCCTCCTAGGTGCGTCCGAGCAGTTCGAGAGGATCTCCCTGGCAGGCGTGGACCGGCTGGCCGTGTGCAACGACGCCACTGCAGCGGCGTATTATTTCAAGGACAATAACAACACGAAGCTTTGGGTAGTCTATCTGGCTGGCGGAGGCTGGTGCTATGACTATGCCAGCTGCGCGGCGCGCTACAACGGGTCGGAGTATCCGCACCAGGACTGCGACAACTCGTCCGTGACCGCGCCGTGCTTCATGAGCAGCAAGGACTTCCCAGCAACATGCGGCAAGACAGGCATCTTTGACGCGAGCCCATCCCTGTCCCCTCTGTCCATGGCCAACAAGATTTACATACCGTATTGCAGCTCGGATGCGTTCATGGGTGATGGGAAGTTTCATGATTGGGAGTTCAGGGGTGCGCGCATCGTCAGGGCGGTCATCGAAGATCTTGTACGCAAAGGGCTCGATGAAGGCGCCACGCTGGTATTCGGGGGTGGCTCAGCAGGCGGACGTGGCGCGATGGTCCTCCTGGATGAAATAGCAGAGTCGCTTCCCAAGGTTCTTGTTCGGGGCTTTCTCGACTCACCGTTTTACATCGATATAGATGCATATTCTCCCAAGTTTGCAGGTTTCCAGGGCCAACATGTTGACGTGCTTAACAATTTCAACGCCACGTCGGTCGTGTCCGGAGAATGCAAGAGCAGATATCCAGGGACGGACATGTGGAAATGTTTGTTCGGGCAGTACCGCATGCCTTTGGTAAGAACACCAAGCCTTATGATGACATCACGGTTTGACTCGTGGCAGATCTCTCATCTTGTACACGGTTACAGTGGCATTGAAACGCAGCCAATGTTTACCGCCAGCGAACTGACGTACATTCAGGAATTCGGGCGAAAAACCCACGAACATATTGTGCATTTGCGAAGCTCTGTGCCACAGGCAGGGATGTTGTATTCGCCTGCATGTTACAACCATCATATTTCTGAGAAGAGCGGCTTCTGGAGTACAACCACTTCTGCTGGAACGTCGGAAGCTGATGCTGTAACACAAATTCTGTTTGGGCATGGCTACTATGTGGACGATTGCAGTGGCTTCGATTGTGGCATGGGGTGCGGGGGTGGCCAGGGAGGCCAGCATCCCGAAACGCATGCGTCGTCTGCGCTCGTTGTGTAGGAGAGGCCGCCGAGAGTCCAGCAGTATCATCGCTGCGCGTTCTGCCACCCGCGTCGCGAGCGAAGACCCCTCCCCCTGTCGCCGGCCCTCCTCTTCCCTCACGGCGTCCCATCGGTCGTCTGTCGCGTCATTGTCGTTGTCGCCGTGCTTGTCCGTCGCCGTCGTCGCTGGCGGCTGCTTCTTATCCTCTGCCTGGACCTCGTGCCCCTTCGCGGGCACACGCGAGGCGAACCCAGAATCAACAAGTCCTGGAATTATTCGCGTCCTTATCTTCCTCCATGTCTTTCTTCTTCAAGGTGCTCCACTGTGTTTTCTTGTCCCTCCCGGGTCCCATCGTCTCTCCGAGCATTTCAGGGCAGTGTAGTGGATTTGGTCGCCGGCGTCTCTTGGCGCAGAGCGGTCGCGCACCTCGCCCTGAGCAGGATGAAGAGGAGGAGGAGGCGGAGGATGACTGGAAGGCGTGTCTTCTGCGTCTACCCAAACATCGGGGGTCTCGAAAAAAATCCAGACGGAGGTTTTTCTCAGTTTTGGGCCTCTCGTGGCCGTCGCCGGGCCTCGGCACCGTCAAACATCGACCCGGGATGAAAAACCGGTCCCAGGGAAGTAGTCGGGAGGTCGGGGGCCCGCGTCTCAGAAAAATCGAGATGTCGGAGGTCTGGGTAATCCTGTATTTGCCAGGATGTGTTGGGGACAACTGACGAGGAGGAGGAGCAGCAGGCGCTGCAGGATGCGGCATCGGGGACCGAGGAGGGCCTCGAGGCACACGGATCGGGAGGAGCGGGGGAACGGAGCACGGGCGAGGAGGACGAGGGTGCCGAGGCAGAGGAAGGGTCAGGGTTGGCGGCGAGGAGGGAGAGACAGGAGCATGAGAAAGGAGGAGGAGGAGGAGGAGGAGAAGGAGAAAGGAGGAGGAGGAGACAGGAGGAGGAGGAGGAGGAGGAGGAGGGTGAAGAGGAGGAGGAAGAGGAGGAGGAGAAAGGAGGAGACGGGTGCTGTGCTCCCGCTCCTGGCCTTTCTTCGCCCACCGAGAGTTGCGCCAGGGGGCGGAGGGGCGCCGAGCGGCGGGGGGGGGCAGGAACCCGCAGCCGTGGGCGCAGGCGCGCGCCCCTCGCCCGGGGGAGCACGCGCTGACGTGAGCAGCTAAGGCCTCGGAGGTCCCCGCGGCTTCCTCGGACCGGCGCTGCAGGGCCCCCCAGGCGGCGCCTCAGGCGCCGCCCCTGGCGCACTCCGCGCGCCAGGGAGGGGTGGCCCTGGCGCCGATCCGAGAGAAATCTGCGGGGACGCTTCGGCTTCTGTCGGCCTCTGTTCCCCTGCTGCCGCCCCGCTCGCGCCGCGCTCTCTCTCCTCCTGCCGGGGCCTGCGCCGAGAGACGAAAGCGGGGCGGGAGGTTTGGGGCTGTGTTCGGCCTCTCGGGGGGCCCTCACCGGGCCCTGGGGCCGTCAACGAGCGGTTCGGGATGAAAGACAGGTCCTTGCGAAACGGCCAGATTTTTTTGGGAACCCCGTGCTGACAAGAGCGGGGCATCGCAAGCCTGGGCCCGCACCTTCCAGTGCTCCTCCCACTTCTTGCCGCCTTCCCTTGTTCTTCTTTCTCTTCCCTGTCCCATCCTTCTCTCTCCCTCTTCGTTCCTCCATCCGACCGTCCCCCTCCCTCACTGTCCCTCCGTCTCCCCTTCCCTCCCGTGACCCCTCTTCATGTGTCATGCTTCGTCTGTCAACCCCCCTCCATCATCCCTCCTCGTTCCCCTTCATCCCTCAGTCCTCATTCGTTCTTCCCCGCCCTCTCCTCGCGGTCCAACTAGTTGGAACATGAGGCTATCGGGCCATGCTGCGCTGCTCTTGTTTGCAGGTCGCTGGGGTACCCCCTCGCCGGGTCCGCCTGCTCCCTATTCCCTGCCCTCGGGCCACTCCCCCACCCCTCCGAGGAAAGAATAGCGACACCGCCACCGTCACCACCGGGGGTGTCACCTCCAGCGTTTTTGTCCACGATGCTTCCCCGAGCTGCTGGGGATAGAGGGGGCCTCCAGCGCGGAGGGGGCCCCACACCACCAGGAGGAGGATCCTACCTGGCTACTCGCGCTGGTGGTGGTGTTTGTCGCTTTTCCTTGGTGTGTCACTACTGCGCGCAGATGGTCCCCCCGAGCAGCCTGGGGCGGTCTCAACACCTCGCGCCGCCGACTCCAGCGCTGCCTCTGAGCTACTCTGGGGGGGGGCGTTGTTGAGTCCAGCCAAGACTGCCTGCCGAAGCCTCACAAGGCCCCTTCGCCTCCCTACCATACTCTGAGAAGATACAAACCGGCACAACCCCTGCGCTGGTGGTGGTTTGGTCGCTTTTCGGTGCGATTGCGAAGTCAGAGGCTGGCGCGGCCAGGAGTCGCTGGCAGGCCCGCTTGGCTGAAGCTAATGCCAGCAGCTCCAGGATGAGCTGATGCGCTAGGCTCCAATGACACATGAGGCGTTTCAGGAAGGGCCTTGCCTTCGAGGATCGAGGGGAGTTGACATCTCTTCCTCGGCGGAAGGCGGCGGAGGCAAAACGAGGCCGCCTCCGCCTGGGGAAGCCGACGGAAGGGCGGCGAGGGGTGGCGGAGGTGGTACATTCGCCCCCAGGAGATGACAACTTCTCTGGGGTCAGGGCCCTCCGCGTCCGCCACCACGCGTCGCCCTGCGCGTGTCCGCGCCGGATGCTCGATGCGTGCGAGGTGCTCCTGGTTTGGGCGCCCGAAATGGGTACGGAAAAAATGGGTACAATGCCCAACAGCAGTTCCTGTTCATTTTGAACCGGACTCGCAGTCGGTGTCGCCGCGGCCTGTGTCCATTTGAGACAGGAGGCCACCCGCCCAACAGCGGCCGCTGTTGGCTTGGGACAACATCTGCTGTTGGGCATTGCACCCATTTGAAATGGGTGCAACGCCCATTTGAAATGGATACAGTGCCACTTTTTCCGTACAATGCCTCTGCTGTTGGGCATTGATGGGCCATTTTTCCCTTACCCATTTCTCAGGAGGAAAAGAAACACACAGACACAATTAATCTTCGATTTCCCAGAAAATATGGGAAAATATGGGAAGTGGGCGGGAAGACACAAACCCAGAAAATATGGTAAAATATGGGGAATTATGTTATTTGTGTGTATTTATTTGTGTGTCCTGGGGCCCCTCCAATTTCGGGCGCCCAAACCTGGGCAGGGCGCTCGCCCTCCGCGGAGCGGCCCGGCGCCCTCGGCAGGCAGGCTGGCCCCGGGGCGGGGGCGCCCGCCGAGCGGCGGCGCCCATCGCCGGCGGCGCTCCCGGCGAAGCCGCGCGCGGCGTCGTGCTCCCGCCCGGCGGGCTCGGGCCGTGCGGTGCGGGAGAGGGCGGCGGCGCCTCGCCCGCCTCGCACGCGCGGCGCAGCGTAGGGGAAGCCCCTCGGCGGCAGGAGCGCAGGAGCGACGAGCGAAGGGACGACACGACGGGGGAGGGCGCGGGGAGGGACCGCCCATTTGGAGGTAGCGGTGCCAAAGTTTGCACGTGTCAGTGGGTGCAACACAGGTTCCAGCTGCTGTAGCTAGAGTGATGTGCAGGACAAGCGCGGGAGAGGCAAACGACTACATCAATGACGTACACCGTTCGGCGGTGAGAGGCATAATGTAGATCGCTGGCTAATTGTCAAACTGTTGCTTATGCTGGTGCTCGTCCCCTCTTCTCCCCGACTCATCGGAGCCCGTGGTTCACCACCTCCGCCTCCAGGGGTCGCTGTCGGCCCCATGTCCTTGACAGCAAACCGACCCCTCGGAATGTGTCGGAAGCTCTGCGGCCAGTGTATTGAGACAGTCAGGCCGACGGAGACATTGTCGCGCAAGTCTTAGAAGGAAGTGCGTACTGAAATGTACCAGGGCGAGGCGGAGGAGAACGAGGGGGGTGAGCAGGAGCAGGAGGTAGACCAGACAGAAGGGAAGGAGGATAACGAGGGGGGCACACTTCGTATGGGTGGGAGAGGCGGGCATTGAAGAGAGTGACAAGGAGGACTTGGTGTAGAAGAAGGGGCCACAACAAACCCGTGAAGGGCCCTTCCCGTTTTCCTATCGATTTGTCTTCTCGTTCTCTTCGTTCACACGTTCTTCACAACCATCCTCCTCATCGGCATGCAGTGGGGGAGTTGGTTGAGGAATGTGCCCAGGAGGCTTCGGATCCTCGAGGACTTCTTATCTTCTGCAGGCGGCTGTGCTATCCATGGCCGAACTATGATTGGATCTCCACTGGCCTCCAGACCCTGGGTCCCTTATCCAGAGATCCTTGATTCAATACCCTCGCCCTATTCTTCATCATCTCAGTTGCCGTCGCTGAGCAGGCGGCCTTCTTCGTGTGCAGTTTCGCGCTGGTCGCGCAGACGCTGCTTGCGATCGTCGTGCCGATGATTCCCGGGTGCTCAGGGTGGGGGCTCACGTCCCGTCCCGTACACCTCCACCCGCCCCCTCGCTTCTCCTGATCCTCATCTGTCTCCTGTCATCGATCCTTCTCCTGCTTCTTTCTCTCCTTCTCGTGCTCTCCCTGCATCTGGCACCGTCCACTCGAACTGCCCTGAACCCTAGCCTTCTCTCCCTCCTGTGCCTTCTTCTCTGTTCTCCATCCTACCCCCGTTTCCTTTGAGGTTGGGCTCGTCTTGGCGCGAAGCAGACACCCGCTGATTACGCTCACGCTCCCGGTCTTTGATCGGTGACGCCAACCATTTGGCACATCTCATGCTGGGAGCCTGAGGCCGCAAGCGCAGCTCATGAAGCACAGCGGAAGCCGATAGAAAGGATGAGCGATTTCCAAGGGTACCCTTAACCTTTTTCGATGGCCATCCTTGCTCGAAAATTTCGGCATGGCCATCCGAGACCCTTGCATCCCGATCGCGGAGCCTTGCTATCAGTTGTGACTGTGCATCACCTGGTGGAGACTCCTCCCTCGAGCCTCCAGCTGCACACCACGAGGCGAGAGGGGGATATGTTGCAATCCTCTCCTGCGCATCAATCCGGTAGTCGTCAGGAGGGAAAGAAACACACGCACACACACACACCACACACATACACACACACACACGCGCTCAAAGAAACGTCGTTCCCCATGACAATATCGGATAAGTTGGGAAGTGGAGGGTGAGATGGAAATCGAACAACAATGTGGAAACATATTGGGAAGCCTGGGATGTGCGTCTATTTACTTGTGTGTCCCTGGGCCCCTTCCAAGTCTGGCCGGGCAGCGCGAGCCGACTGCTCGGAGTCGGTGCGGGGGCGCCCCCTCGAAGCAGAGGCACAGTCACGGGAATTCGAGAGAACACGCTTGACGGAAGCCATGTCGCGGTCAGATTGCACAGCAATGGCCGGCAAAGTGGGGCTCACCATGTGAACAGCAGGCTGAACAAGAGGGAACAGAAAAGAGGAATTGGAGGGAGGAGGGAGTGAGAGGAGGAGGAGGAGGAGGAGGAGGAGGAGGAGGAGGAGGAGGAGGAGGAGGAGCAGGAGGGGGAGCAGGAGGAGCAGGAGGAGCAGGAGGAGGAGGGGAGTCTTTTCTTGTTGACGCGGACCGCGGCTGAGCGCCTGAAGCCTCGGAGCGCAGACGGAAGCCGAGGGCGAGCGAGCGGGATCCGCGGCCCCAGCGGAGCCGAAGCCGCGGCCGAGGGCAGGGAGAGGGTGACGCCGAGCGGGCGCGTGTCCAGCCTGGCCTGCCGAGGGAGCCCTCCGCCAGCGCCCCTGGGCGGGAGGCCGCACGCCTTCCAGCGCGCGTCCCGCGCTGCGCCCCTGACGCGCCTGGCGCGCTCCGCGCGCCGTGGGCGGGGCTCCAGCGCCGACTCCCCGAGTCCGCGCGGACCTCAAACCGCTTCTCGTGCACACCGTGCAGCACGCCCGCATCGACCTCCAGGACATTCCTCCCTCGCCTTCTGCCCTCATGACCTGTGGCACGTGTGTCTCGCACTGCACGTTGTCCAGGCGCGCCAGTTTTCTGTAGCCAAGGCCTTGCCCACCGGGTCTCAGCTAGGCCCGGACGATGTCCGCAGCTGTGGTCGTATTGTATCGTTTCGTATTTTCTCGTCTGCACGAAGATGAGTGCAGTCGAGCATCTGTTGCGAGGCCTCCTCCCCGAAAAGCCGGGCCAGCGTTGCTCGGCCAACTTGCGAGAGAGAGAGAGAGAGAGCCGGTCCAGTCTTTGGAGCACGCTTGCCATTCCAGCGCGAACAGCAGAAAGTGGCCAAGGCTTGTCTCAAGGAATGTCCGGGAAGCTGGCCCAGACTTCCGAATTGACACCTTCCTTGATCGCATCTTCGGCTGTAGGGGGGGGTGGGGCCGGGGTCGGTGCCGAGGGGGGCGGTGAAGCAAGGAGGCGGCGCGCCGCCAGGGGCGACGCCCGGCTCGGCACGAAGCTGTCTGGCGGCGACGTGGAGGCCCGCCCCTGCCGCTGCGGTCGAGCCGCGTCGTAAGGACGGCGTGGCTTTCCCACCGGAGGGGACGAAAGCCACACCGCGAGCGGTGGCGACGCGTCCTGGCTCGCCGATACGGTGGGGGCGTCCTGGCTCGCCGAAACGTGCCCAGGAGGCTTCAGACCCTGGAGGGTTCCTTATCTGATGAGGGCGGCGGTGACATTCATGGCCAATGCACGATTGGCTTTCCACTGGCTTCCAGACCCTGGATTCCTTATCGAAGGTTCCCTTATCCAATGTCGCCACCGTGGTTTCGACAAAGTGTTGTCAAAATATTTCTGGCTGGGACTGTCTTGTCGAATCGTTAATCGGCTTTACGCTCTGATATGTTCCAAGAACATTGTTTTTGCTCTTAGAGTACTTTTGGGTCCTGAGATCATGTCGTGGTAGGCCTATAAGAACGCCCGGACGGTCTGGCCCTGCTCAGACACCATCAACCTGGGTGCCACCCTGAGCGAGGAGGTCCACGATGCCTCCCCGAGCTGGGGATGGGAGATGCCTCGAGCGGGCAGTGGGGACCACACCACCAGGAGGACCCCACTGGCTCCTACCGCTGGTGGTGGTGGTGTCGCTTGTCCTTCGCTCGTCCTTGTTCCTATTCCAGGCGTGCCCCTGGTAAGGCTTCGGGCTGCGCGCAGATCGCCCCCCAAGCATTCTGGGAGGTCTCAGCACCCTGGAGCCGCCTCCGGCGGCGCCAACTGGGCGCTCCACATCCCAGGGCTGGAGTGTTGAGACTGCCCCGGGCTGTGATTCTTGGAGGTTGCTGAGTCCAGCCAGGTCGAAGCCTTACTAGGTTTCTCTTTCTCGAAGGAGAAGAATGTCCCCTCGCGTGTTGCTTCTCTCTCGAAGGAGAAAGACCAGCACAAGCATCGACGTTCGGAGGTCTGGGGGGGCTTCTTTTCTCGGCGCTGAGCCCCCTGGGTCTTCCGGCGCCTTCCCTTGCGCGATCCGCGCGCCATGGAGCGGTGTCGGGTTCCGATCCGAGACATTCGCGGACTTCCAGAAGTTCACGCTTGTATTTTTGTTGTGGCTTCCTTGGCCCATCCTGACACGCGGCTCTTTGCCATGCACCATTGGTTTTCAATTCCGCCTTAAAGTTTGGCGTCCGAGGGCCCTGCATCTTCACCATGCGTTCTCTCATGTTCCCGCACCGCCGATGCAGCACTCTTCGGCCGTGCTGGAAGAATACGCCTGGACCTAAGGAGAAACAACTGCATTCTCGTCATCTGTTAGGGGCACGCGCGAGTTTCTTGGATCGGACGGAGCTGGCCCCCGCTGGCGCGCTCCGCGCCAACAGTTTCGATGTATGCAGTTCTTTCTGATGTGTGCTGAAGGTCCGATGGGGAAGAGATGCAGATACCGCTGCCCTTTCCACACGTTCGCCTCTCCGGACCTCCTGAGGTCCCTCGCTGCCACGGCTGGATTCGCCGCGGAATTTTGGTCAGAGCGCATTCCTGGGAGAGGTCGAGGGAGCATCGGCATTGGTATCTTCTTGCCCCCATCAGAGGATAGGAAGGGAAGGAGAACAAGAGATAGAGAGAGAAGGGAGCAGGCACGGAGTTGAACACTCCGAGGGGACGGTCCCGCCTCCTCCTTCGTCTCCACATCCAGATGTCTTCGTCATCGTCGTGCTTCGTTATGTTTCTTCGTAGGAGGAGGAGTTCCTAATTCCTAGTTCCTCGGAGCGTGTCCCTGCATCTAGGCAGGCCGCGACCCAACAACTCAGCTCAGGTCAGGAAAGGCAGCGCCTGACCGAGGCGGTAGCCCTCGTCGAAGCCGAGACAAGACTTCGCGCCCAGTCTTCGTGGGCGGGTGGCATGCCTTTGCCAAATCCCGCGGCGCCTTCACTGTGCAAAAGGCGCCTCAGGTGGTACAAAACAGAACCCCTCGCAGCACTGCGAGGTGGTGTGAGGTGTCGCATTGGTCCGCAAGAGGATGGTCCAGGGCACCCCCACACAGCACGGACGGCCCCAGGTCATAGGAGGAGACGGAGGAGACGGAGGAGGAGGAGGAGGACAGAGGAGGAGGAGGAGGAGGAGGAGAGGGAGGAGGAGGAGGAGGAGGGGGAGGAGGAGGAGGAGGAGGAGGACCCCCCGTCCAGTGACCCTCGACATCCGCTGCCGCTCGCTGCTGGGCATCCCGTCTGTGTGGCTCCCCTCCCAGGGTGAACTCCGAGCCGTTTTCCAGGGCGGGTCCAGCCGTGGCACTGAGGATCTTTCTGGGCGGCACGGCGAGTACGACAAAAACCGCCAGGGGTGCAAAGAGCACGAAGCATCGTCACTAGACTATTTCCCAACCATCTTGTGGTGTTGGGTCCTCGATTTGACGCAGCGCCCCGCATTTTCACTCCTCCCGCTGCCCCCTCCCCCCTCCTCCTGCCTCCTCCGATCCCTGCTTCTCTGCCCTCCGAGCCAGTCAGCCATTATGGCACACCGCTCACACGTTTCGTGGCCCCATAGGGAGCCCCACCGCAAGGCTCAAATGCCAGCGTTCGCATGCGCCCACCGCACCCAGCTTGACACGCCCTTCACACGCTTCGTGGCCCCATAGGGAGTCCCACCGCAAGGCCCAAATGCCAGCCTTCGCATGCGCCCACTGCACCCATTTTGACACGCCCCTCACACGCTTCGTGGCCCTATAGAGAGCCGCACCGAAGGCCCGAAGGCCAGCGTTCGCATGCGCCCACCGCGCCCATCTTGGCACACCCCTCTCACGCTTTGTGACCCCACAGGGAGCCCCACCGAAGGCCCACTTGCCAGCGTTCGCATGCGCCCACCGCTTTCATTGGTACACGCCCCTCACACGTGTCGCGGCCCCTTAGAGAGCCCCACCGAGGGCCCGAGGGCAAGCGTTCGCCTGCGCCCACTGCATCCATGACGGCACACCCCTCACACGCCTCGTGGCCCCATAGGGAGCCCCACCGAAGGCCCAAATGCCAGCGTTCGCATGCGCCCACCGAGCCCGTTTTGGCACACCCCTCACATGCTTCGTGGCCCCATCGCTTCGTGGCCCCATACGGAGCCCCACCGCAAGGCCCAAATGCCAGCGTTCGCATGCGCCCACCGAGCCCGTTTTGGCACACCCCTCACACGCTTCGTGGCCCCATCGCTTCGTGGCCCCATAGGGAGCCCCACCGCAATGCCTAAATGCCAGCGTTCGCATGCGCCCACCGAGCCCGTTTTGGCACACCCCTCACACGCTTCGCGGCCCCATATGGGAGCCCCACCGAAGGCCCGAATGCCAGCGTTCGCACGCGCGCACCGCACCCATTTCGGCGCACCCCGCACACGCCTCGCGGTCTCATTGGAAGCCCCACCGAATGTGGTGCATACAACGGCTGCGCTCACAAATGCATATGGTTGGGTTTTCCGCCAGGCTAACTTTAACTATTCTTGAGTATTCCTCCTGTAGAGGAACCAAGCCCGACTCAATCCCAGCCCGTACCGTGCTCCCACCCGGCTCGACAGGGGGAGGGGCTCGGGCGAATTGGCTGGCGCCGGCGCGCCCCAAATCGGCCCATGCCGTCCAGGCGCAGGGGCGACCCGTGCTGCAGCATCGGGAGGTGCGCCGTCTATCCCGCTGCGCTGCCGCGCTCCTCCTCCTCCCACCCCCAGGTGTCGAGTGATGGTACAGTCGGACCGAGGCATGAGATCGATGACGGTTCGGGGACGGTACCCTGATGTTCTTCGTGTCTGTTGGTTGTTCTTGTGCATCCTGGGAAGGGTACCGTACCCTCGGTGATCTTGGTGTGTTTTGGCTGGCGGCGGGTCTCATGTTCTTGAAGGATGTTCTTCTGGCCTGGGTTCGACTACGACGGACGAGCTTCGGGCCGGAATTAAAACAGTTGGTTCTTTGCTATCATGTCCACCATATTACGCATGCCGGCCAGGACCATGTCCGAGTAGGAGGGTTAGAAGAGGATTGGGAGAGGGCTCGAGCTGCCCTGCTAGCTAAAGAGCTGGCTTTCATCCAGCAGTGGAGGTTTGGGATCTCGCCCCTTCCCCCCCTCGACGCTGCGCCTCCTCAGGTGTCGATTGTAGCGCTGCCTCGTCAACCACACCCGCGGGGCCCGAGCCGCGCCCGAACCATCTCCCTCCTCCTCCTCCTCCCTTTCCTCCTTCTCTCTCCTTCCTCCTTTCGCTCCTTTTTATTCCTTCCTCCCTCCTGCTTCTGTTTCTCCCCCTCCTCCTTCTACAATGCCAAGGCCTCCCTCTCCGTCCTCCCTCTTCATCCCCGGGCCCCCCCCATTTTCCCATCCTCCTTCGCCTCCTCCTCCTCCTCCTCTTCCTCCTTCCCTGATCCCCCTTCTTCCCCTCTTCGCCTCCGCCAGCGCGCGCGGAGCGGCGTTGCGTCGACGCTGCAGCGCTTCGTGGGTGCAGCGCTGCGCGGCCTGGTGCGCGTACCCAGCCCTTGCGTCGCGGCGGGGTGCGTGGTAGAGCCGACGCCCGTTGAACGTATGGCATGCGCTTCCACGCAGTGTGATACCCCTGCGTCCTGTCTTGTTCGGCCTGCCGTCGGCTTGCTGCTTTTGCCAGCCCCTGAACATTGGCTGCAGCGTGGGCGCCCCACGGGGCACTGCATCCCCGCTCTGCCTCCGGATGACACGCAGTGACTGCGCACCGCCAGGGCCAGTGAGCGAGGGCTCGTACAGGCCCGCCCGGCCTTCGCAGGTTGGCTTACACAAGCTTGCTCGCTACACGTTCAGCGCGTGGACGCGGCCTGTATCATCAGATTATATCGAATCTGCTGTGGGTGTATACAGCTACCTTATGTCAGCCAGCGCGACCAGGGTTGCTACCCGCAGGGCGCCCTCGCCGGAGTTGACAAAGAGCTTGGATGTACCTTCTGGGGTATTCGAATGTTGGCTCAGTAGGGGATGTTGCCACTTTATTTAGCTCTGGCTCAATATTGGGCCGATTCGGGTCTAAGTTATTTCAATGGCCCCTTCGCCAGGCTCCAGAAGCTCTTAATCGTGCACATGCGATGACCTCCCACAAGGTGCCTCCCCCAAACAGACAATCAAGCTGAGCGAGGGCGCCGCGGGACGGAAAAACGAGAGGGGCATTTGGGAAGTAGGGGTATGCGACGTCTGCTGCATGCAGCTGGTTTCGTCCCTGCCACCGGGCGCCCTTGACTCGATACAGTCAACCATGATAGTAAGGATGGGGCAACTTTCCAAGGCTACCCTTGCATCCTTGCCCCTTCGGTATTCGGCATCCTTCGGCATTCTGCTGCGCTCCGCACAGAACACGTCAACATGGCGTTCCAAGGCCCTTGCATCCTTACCGCGCATCCTTCCTATCGTGGTCGAGTGTACGCTGGCGCCTCCTGGCGCCAGGAGGCACCCGAGAAACCACTAGCTGCGCGAGCTCATTCGCTGCTCAGCCACCCCGTGCCCCGACCTCTCTCGGCGGCGAGCTATCTCTATCGGGGGAAGTGAGAAGGGGCAGGCCTCCTGAGACGGCTTGGAGCTTTGAAGTCCCCTCGGCCTTCTGAGAAGTCTTCGCAGCGTTCCCCGAGGACAGAGAACTGTTCAGAAGGCGCGAAGGCTTCTGAGAAGCCCCGCCGCCTTCAGAGAAGGCCTCCTCCTCACTTCCCCCCCTCGCTCGCCCCCGAACGCGAGCTGATTCGCTTCCCCCCCCCGTTGCGCGACGTGACGTCGCGCAGCAAGAACAACAGAAAAAAATGCCTCCGGCGTCGCGTCTTCTGCACAGCGTCGACACCCGGAGGTCTGCGTCTTCTCCCTGGGACGGGCCTCTCGTCCCGACTTCGGGGGTCGATGTGTGGCCACCGCCCTCACCCGCGTAAGTACCCTGTGCGGGACCAGCTTGCTCGCGGGGGCGTTGGGCGTCGCGTAATGGGGGGGTCATACATGGAGGGGGGGCGAGGGTGGTCCGACAAGGTACCCAAACGGTGCCTAAACGAGCCCCCTGGGGGCTCTGGAGGGGCCCGAGAGGGGCACGAGCGGGGGCCCTTTCCGACCCCCCCCTTAATGCCCCCCCCCCTTTGCAAGGGCTCCCTCGAGGGCGCGAAGTTATTCGCGCTTCGCGCTTCGCGGTCCTCGTTCCTTCTCCCCCTCCTCCTCGTCCTCCTATTCTCCTTTTGGGAGGGCGGCGCGAAAGCGCGAAGTTATTCGCGCTTCGCGCTTCGCGCAGCGCGAAGCGCGAAGTTGGGAGCCCTAGCTTTGAGCCACGCCCAAGGGTGGTGTGCAAAAGCCGTGTCCCCAGGGGATGCCATTTTTGTACTCCACCCCTTGTTGCGCGGTCTTGTGCGAGACCAGCTGGCTTGTTGGGCTTGTGCACAGAATTCGCGCCCCCACGAGTGGGCTTGTAGAGGGAGGCCCGGGGCCCAGCGAGGGCCTCTGGACCCCCTTCTGCAAGTCATGACGAAATCGCGGCGGAAGCCTTTTCGCTACTTTCGCCCTCTCGGGGCCCTTCCGGGCCTCGGGACTGTCAACCAATCAAGATTCTGGATGACAACCTGTCCCGGGGAGTGGGTCGAGACATCTGGTCGGGGCTCAAGAGACGGGGGCCAATGCAAACGGGTGCCAGCCAGCGCTCCGGATCCTGCAGGATCCTGCAAAGACCCCCTTTGGCTGGCCTTGGTTAGCGAGCCGTTCGTGGCCGCGAGGCGGCGCGCATCTTGGCGGACCCGGGTTGCGAAGACCTGCGTTGCAGTGTTTCTTTTTTTCCTGCACTTCAGTTTTTTGGTTCCCTGCTGACCCGGGTCTGGATTGACCCGGGCCAGGAGATCCCCGATCCTTGAACCATCCGGCCTTCTTGAAAGGCCCTTTTGAAGGGAGGAGGAGGAGGAGGAGGAGGAGGAGGAAGAGGAGGAGGAGGAGGAGGAGGAGGAGCAGGACGAGGAGGAGGAGGAGGAGGTGGAGGAGGAAGAAGAGGAGGAGTAAGACCGATCTGGGGGTGGGCGTTTCGAGCATCGCACGGCGCCGGGGCTCTGCGCCCGCTCGGCGCCGGAGCCCACCCGGCCGCCCTGCAGCAGCCTCCCCGTCGCGACGCGCGGTTCGCGGCGCGAGGAGTAGGGCGGGGGCGGAAAAGAGGGGGGTGATGACTAGGGGGGGGTGGATATCATGGCGGGGGCCATGATTTTCCCCAGATTTCATGGCGCCTCTTCTTATTGCATTACGTCCCTGGCCCCCCCGCTGGGCCGCGCACATGCCGCCGGTCATGATTTGCACCCCCCCCCCTCTTGGACACCCCCCTCTTGGCCGCTCCCGAAGTAGGGCGGGCCTGTCCCCCTACAAGGGGGATTTTGGACGAAAACTATAAAGTCGGAACAAAAGACCCAACAAATATTCAACATATGCCCCAACATACCCACATCCCCCTGCAAAATCCCCGTATAGAATCCAAACCATCCCCGAAATGCACCGAGAAACACATCCAACTAAGTCCCCCTACAGGGGGATTTTGGACGCCATAAAAAAAATAAAAAAGAAACCCACACATGTTCAAAAGATGCCCCAAGATACCAAAATAATGGTTCCCCTACATGGGGATTTTGGGCGAAAAATAGAAAAGACACCAACAAGATCCAACAACTATTCAAAAGTTGCCCCAAAATACAAAAAAATAACACCATATCATTTTTTAAACTACTTTTGAACAGTCCCCCTGTAGAGGGACAAGCCCGACTTCACTCGAGGAGGTCCGGGAGAGGGCGCCAAAGCACCTCGCAGCCGCGGCCGCGCGGCGGGCGGGCATCCGGCAGGAGGAGGTCGAGGTGCTGGGCTCCGAGGGGGCACTCGGAGGCGGCCCCGACGCCGCGGCGCTCTCGGCGGTGGCGCTTGCACGGAAGGAGCCGCCGCAGAAGAGAAGGGCCCAGGCCGCCCAGATGGGGCCCGAGCGCAGATGGGATCAGAGGATCGCGCCGCATCGCCGATGTATCGTCAATGCGGCTCGATGTGGGGCCACGTGTTCTCCACGCCGACGTCGCCGATCCGTCGCCATCGTAGCCGATGCATCGTTGATGCATCGACGATAGGGCGCCACCGACCCTCCGGCACCATTTTTCGGATGCAACTCCTGGGATGTCAAATTCTGATTGTGCCCCGGTCCGAAAACCGTCTGAATCCCGCTCAATCTGGCTTCTTAAGTCCGTCGAATCCGGTTCAATTCAGAGCGTGAAAGACCTACCCCGCTTTCGCTTCCAGGCAAAACCGAGCCATACCACGCGCCTCCTCGTCAAGCGGCCTGACCAGTACAGGCCGCAATTTGGCATCGCTTGATATCTCCTGGAAGCGAGGGTGGTCAAGAGCGAGGTAGGTTTGTTTTCCCCCTATCAATCCCGCTCAATCCGCGGCCCAAAACGGCGCGTCAGCCCCCACTTGAACGAAGGATTGCAAAAAAAAAAACGAAGGATTGCAAAAAAACGAAGGATTTCAAAATTCTTGTTTTTGTTGGCAATCCTTGGTGTTTTTGCAATCCTTCGTCCTAATCCCTCCGACGAAGACCTCCCAGCAGTTGCCTCCCGACCCCCTGCGGGGAGCCCCCGGGGTCCTCTCTTTCTGGATGGGGGGCCAGGGAGGGATCGGGACCTCGTTTGGGGAGCCTCTGGTCTTAAGTCGGGCCTGTCCCCCTACCGGGGGACTATCTTTGGAGTATTTTTTTAGCTTTCTGGGGCACTGTTCGGTTATGTTGTATTTTTCGTCGAAAATCCCCCTGTAGGGGGACAGGCTCGACATAACTCTGGTCATCCCTTTGTTTGGGGGGGAGGGGATCAGTCGCCGAGCGCGTTCCACTACTCGCAGAGTGCCTACTCGCAAAGGTCCGAAACATGTAGGTTTTCCTCGATGTAATGTATCGCAGATCCTCCGTGGCGGACCCAGGCAAGTTGCGAGCAGTTGATTTGCGAGTGGTGGCACGCGCAGGTCCCACCAGCGAGGGATCGGGACGCCATTCAGGAGGCCCCCGGGGCTGCTCCCTGGCCAGGGCGGAGGGGGGGCAGGGAGGGATCGGGGCTCGAGGAGGGCCGGGGCTCGAGGAGGGGGGGCTCTGGGGTCAGGGAGCCAAGGGGGGGCTCCTGCCTCCTGCCTCAGACTTCTGATGCGGAGGGGTGCTGCCCTATCAGCACCTCTGGAGTGGTCGCAGGTTTCCGGAGGCTCATCGTCAGAGGAGGAAAAGGGTACCCATACCGCTACCAATTCCCTCATGCTCGGCGACGTCGGCGATGGATCGGCGGCGTCTGCGTGGGGAAGCACGGTATCCACATCGGGCCACATCGGCGACGCATTGGCGATGTGGCGCGATCCTTCGACCCCATCCGCTCGGTCCCCATCGAGGAGGCCTCTCTTGTTTGGGCCTCCTGGGAGCCCTAGTCGCCATCGCTGGATTCGCCGCGGAATTTTGGCCAGAGCGCGCCACGGGAGAGGTCCCGGGAGCAGGTGGTGTCGGTACGGGTCTCGGGGTGCGTTTAGGGTAGCGGAGCGCCGGGCCGAAGGAGCGCCTCAGGGTGCCCGGAGGGTCCCAGCCGGCCGCTGGCGGCCAAGGGCTCGGACCCGAAAGCCAGGGCTCCTACAGTCGCGCAAAGAGTCGAGTATGGGATCGACCACAGAGTGGATCTTCCCCGGAGCTGGTTTTCTTGTCGAAGTTGCCGCGCATGAGCTACGAGCAGTTTACGCATGTTCCGTAGACTCGGCGAGAAAATGCATTCTGGGGTAAGCCAACTCTGTAGTCGATCCCCAGACTACCCGACAAGAGGCTCGGCGGGAGGCGCTTGCCCTGTTGTCGGTTGTCGGGCCCTTGGCAGTGCCCCAGGGCTGTGAAAAAAGCCGAGTCGGAGGTCAGGCCTCCTCCCCCTCCTCTTCTCCTCCTCCTCCTCCTCCTCCTCCTCCCCCTCCTCCTCCTCCTCCTCCTCCTCCTCCTCCTTTTCCTCCCCCTCCTCCTCCCCCTCCGCCCCCTCCTCCCCTCCCCTCCCTCGGGGGGACCTCGCCGCCCTCGCTGGGCCTGTGGATGCTTCTCGGCCAGACTTTGTGGACGCTGTTGGTCCCCACTGGGCCTTCGGGATGCTTCTCGGTCAAGGGGTGACCACCATGTAGAGACGTGGTCCTTCGGGGAGCGGGTCCCATGTTGTTTTCCCGTTCGTGACTCTGACATTGACTCCGTCAGAGTGAAAAGCCCGTCCCGGGATAGAAGCCCTGGGGTCACAGACGCGCGCCCTCGTCTGCACGTATGAGTGACCACTCGGGGAGCCGAACGTTTTAATCCAGAACTTCATCGTCGGTGTTCGGGATCTTCCTTGGGTTCTTCGAGGCTCTCCCGCCTCGGGATGCGTTCCAGCAGCTGTGCCTCGCCGAGGGCGTTTCGGCCCGAATTCCCATGGAAAGGCTTGGGCGGCGGGAGGAGGAGGAGGAGGAGGAGGAGGAGGAGGAGGAGGAGGAGGAGGAGGAGGAGAAGGTGGGGGCGCAGGAGGAGTAGGAGGAGGAAGACCAGTGTAAACCCAATAGTCATCAACGATGTTGGACTAGACCCTCCCTTCAAGCTCCCTCTTCACAGGCCCTTTGAGGGAACTGCCTTTTTTGAGGACAACCATTCGAAGACCCTGAAGCATGCCAAAACAACGTTCGGGCGAGTCCAACGCCACGGATGCACCTGACTGTTGCGTTTTGACAATCCTGAATCGCGCCAGATCGCCATTCCTGGGATTTCAACACAATGAATCAACATTATTGCTGCGCCCGCATTCCTTAGCCTTTTCAAAACACCATATCTTGCACGATGACGATGGGAAACCGTGAAACTCTTGCACACGTTGAAAAAGTGCGCGGCGCTCTGAATCCGTGATACACCTGCATGCTGACGATGGACATCCGTGAAACTCTTGCACAGTTTGAAAAGGAGCAGCTCTCAATCCGTGAAACTGCTGCAAATGTTTAAAACGAATGTGCGCCGCGTTCAAGCGAGAGCCACATGTTGAAAACCACCCGCCATCAATCCGTGAAACCCTTGCGACATTCAAAAACGAATGTACGCGGCGCTGAGGCGAAAACCACATTTTGAAAAGGAGCCGCCCTCAGTCCGTGAAGCTCCTACAACAGTTTTGGTATATATATATATGTATATATATATATATATATATATAAAAAAAAAATCATGCGCGCGGCGCTAAGGCGAGAACCACAAGGCGAGAGACATATTTTGAAAAACGACCCGCCCTCCATCTGCGCAACAGTTGTCAACGTCTAAGCTGCAGAGTCATATGTAGTGAGGAGGTCTTAGGCCAAACGCCCGGACCGCCCTAGACACTGGCATCGGGGTGCGACAGGTGAAAGAATGGAGAAGGAGGGGGAGGAGGAGGAGGAGGAGGAGGAGGAGGAGGAGGAGGAGGAGGAGGAGGAAGAGGAGGAGGAAGAGGCAGAGGAGGAGGCAGAGAAGGAGGAGGAGGAGGAGGTTGACCCTCCCTTGGGGTGACCTTTGGTGCGCGGCACCGGGGGGCGCGCAGGGGGGACCACACCCAGGCGCACGCGGGCATACACTGGAAACCCATGCCCAGAAACAGCCTGCTTGCCTCCAGGGTGCCCTGGGTTCCTTGGGTTTCGATGGTTCTGCGATGGCGAGCGGAACGTTCCCACACCAAAAATCCATGGGCGTCCTGGGGTCTCAGGGCTGGCTTTCTGGTGAAAGGTTTCTTGTGGTCGAGCTCCCACTGTACGGCCTCATCGCATGCCACGACCGGCAAGCCGCACACCAGAGGCGCCCCTGCTCAGGGGGGTGCTCTTGCGAGCACCCGTCAGCTCGTGTTGCGTATTCAATCGCTCTGCCTCGTGGGACTCCGCCGGCTTGGGGAGAAAGGAGGAGGAGCAGGAACGAGGAGGAGGAGGCAGGAGGAAAACAGCAGCTCGTGCGAGCAGCCGATTTCCTCACTGGCACGAGGAGCTGGAGCGGGACAAGAGCCAGCTCGAGGAGGCGAAGTTTGAGCTGGTCCAGGTGCTTTTCCAGTCCGTGGAGACTGCGCGGCTCGAGCAGCACGTTCAGGCTAGCAAGTGGTTCAACGCGAAGGCGCTTGCCCAGGCCAGAGAGGAGGTGGAGCGGAAGGAAGCTCTGCTCAAGCGCGTGCAAAAGGTGCTCGTCCGATCTGGAAACTTCGCGAAGCCGGTCAAGGGGACGACCGTGGTAATTCAGAGGAGCATCGGGGAGAAGAGGATGACGATGACGCTCAGGTTCAGGAGAAGGATGACTTACAAGGCGTGGGAGGAGTAATGAGGTTAGGGGATACAGGGGGGGAGGTGAAGGCAAAGGAGGATAAGGAGGCGAGTGAGACGGAAGGGGGTAGGCGAGGCAAGGGGGATGAGAAGGGAAGCCGATGGGGGAAGCAATGCGGTAACCAAGATAAGGAGGAGGAGGAGGAGGAGGAGGAGGAGGAGGAAGAGGAGGAAGAGTAGGAGGAGGAGGAGGAGGAGGAGCAGGAGGAGGACGAGGAGAGGGGCGAGGGCGAGCAGGAGGCATGATGAGGTGGAGGGCGGGGAGGAGGCAGTCGGGCGGGGGAGAAGAGGTGGAGGAGCAGGAGGGGAACGAGTAGGATGATGCGGATGAGGGAGAGGAGACGGTGGAAGAGGAGGAGGAGGAGGTTGCCCCTTCCCCTTCCATCTAATGAGCCCTGCCCTCCAGGCCCTTCGCCTGTCGGTTTGCCTCCAATCCTTTCTCGCGCCCTCCCACCTCGCAGTTGCCTCCGTTTTCACGCCCGCCTCCTCGTCCGCTGTCCCTCCCGGTCTTGCTCCCTCTCACTCCTCTTGCCCGTGTTGCCCAACGCTCGTCTCCCCCCCCCACCCCTATCTTCTCCGTCCTTCTCTTTCTCGTCGCCCTCCTCCTCCTGGTGCTCCGCCCTCGCCTCGTCCTGCTTCTCCTGCTGCTGCTGCTCCCCCTCTTTTTCCCCTTGCTCGTTTCCGTGCTTCTGCCCACCCCCCCTTCCCCTTGCTCATTCCTGAGCTTCTGCCCCCCCCCCCCCCTCCCCATCCCCCCCCCTTGTGCTGCTCAGCAACCCTTTCCCGTCCCACTGCGGCGGTGGGCTCCTCCCTGCCGCCGCCCCCGCGCGCCCTGGCAACCGAGTCCGCAGGCCCCGTGCGAAGCGCGCCAGGCCCCGTGCGAAGCGCGGCCCTGCCTTGACTTGCCTGCCCCTTCTCGAGCACCTTTTCCTTGCCCTGCTTCCCCTTTCGCTTCCCTCCGCCTCGCTCCCTCCCGCGCGGAGGAACAACTTCACGGTGCAGGTCTGCCCCGAGATGGTCGACCGGGCCGTGGCCGTCGCGCAGGCTGACGACGACAACAGCCTCTATTTGGTCGAGGGCTGCAATTTCTGGCTCAGAAGGTTGGACTTCAGGCTGCTGCTTCTTCATTGCCTCCTCGACACCCTCCTCATGCTCCTTCTCCTCCTCTGTCTCGTCCTCCTCCTCCTGCTCCTGCTTGTCCTCTTCCTCTTCCCACTCCTCCTCATCCTCCGTCTTCTCCTCCTCCGCCTCTTTCTCCTCTTCCTCCCATCCTCCTCCTCCTCCTCCTGCTCCTCTCTTCCTTCGCCTCGTCGCCTTCCTGCCTGATGCCCTTTCTTCTCCTCCCTCTTCGTCCTCCACTTCCAGGCTGGAAGGAACCAGGCAGGACGGCGCGGACAACGTGAGCGTGAGCAGCGCGTCCAGCGAGTCTTCGGTCTCGGACAGCGAGTGTTCAGATGATGAGGATGCCGCCTACACCCCGGTCGATTCGGCTCTGCTGGGGTGTTGGGTGCTGGACCGATGCGAGGGCGACATGTCAGACGTCATGGTAGACGCAGGCGTCGACTGGATCACGCAGAGGACGGCGAAGTCTTTCAACTACGGCGTGGGATTGGTGTCTCACACGCTGGAGCAGTCCGGAAAGAAGCTCACCATCGAGATGAAGGGCGGCTTGAAAACATTGAGAACTAAGATAGACATGTCGTCAGCCGGTCCTTCTGAGACTCAGGCTGAGGACGGGTCGGAGATCTTGGTGACTGGCAAGTGGGATGGCAGCGCTCTGGTGATAGCCGGGAAGGCGAAGGGCAGCGGCAAAGTCATTCAGACAACGAAGCGGTATTTAGAAGGCAACGAGCTAGTACAGGAGATTTTCCCTGTAAGTTCCAAGTATAGCCCAGCTAAGCGCATATTCAGGCTAAAATGAATATTCAGGCTCAGGTCAAAATTGCCTGTCCCGCGTTGTTTTTCTCTCTGTTGCTTTCCTTGCTGCTCCCAGTCGACTGGCACTTGTATACCCTTCTGCGCATGGTAATTGCGAAGGCCTTCCGGCCGGTGCCGCCGACCCTGAAGGGGGACGACGACGACAACGGCGGCGGCGGCGACGACGATGACGCTGACATGGGCCAGACGGATGCTGCTTCGGGTCTCTTCGGAAGGCTCTCGGGGGCCTCTGGGGAGAAATTCTTGGGCCTCTTGGGAGCCTCTTGGGGGCCTCTTAAGAGCTCCTTGGGGCCTCTGCGGGCTTCCTGGGGACCTCTTGTGGGCCTCTTCTCGTGGGGCCTCTTGGAAACCTCTTGGGCCTCCTGGGAGCCTCTCGGGGCCGAGGGCTCGAAATGTCCGTCGGGGCACGCTCTTGGAGCCGTCTTGGGGGCCTCTTGGAAAGTCTTGGGGGCGTTGTGGGGTGTCTTGGGGTCCTCTTGGGCTGTATGGGCGCCCTCTTCGAGGCCTCTTGGGCAGTCTTGGGGCGCTCTTGGGGACCTCTTGGGCCGTCTTGGAGCGGCGTGGAGCGGAAAAGGCGAGAACACCCAAATCCAACACAAAAACAAGAAACAGTAAATTTTGCCTTGTGGGGCCCTTCTCGGGAGGCTTCTTTGGACATCTTGGCGGCCGCCTGGACATCTGGAGGGCGTGGAAGGCGTTTGGGCTCGATGGTTTGGCGATTGTGGGCCCTCTTGGACCGTCTCGGGGGCTTCTAGACCCCGGGACCCTCCGGGGACCCCCCCGGGACGCCCTCCGGGACACCCCCACCCCCCTGGGACGCTCTCCGGGACACCCCCCGGGACACCCCCCTCTCCCAGGACCCACCCCCTTCACCCGACGGGGGAGGGATCAGAGGGAAGGGGCTTCCCTCGGACTCGATTGCGACATTGCTAGAGTTTTCTTTCTCGCTGATAGGCTTGAGGAGGAGGATGCTGGGAAAAGGGGACGACGGAGACGACAATTGGCCGAGACGGCGACTTAAACAGACAAGCCCCTCACACACGCCGACAGGGTCGGCGGAGTACCCCTCTTGGCAGGGTTATTGTCGAGGAGGGGGGCATACATCAGCGCACTCATTTGCGGACGCACCCGAGCCAGGCGATCCGTGATTAAAGCGATCTGTACACACCGAGGAACGAAAGGCCAGGGCGGAAGGGGGATACCTATAATGCACAGAGGGTGCGCACGGAGTGGCGTCCAATACACGGGGTGGAAGCGACCTCGTCGTACGCCACGGGAGATCCGTGGGCATCCCGAAGATCTGCGACCATAAGTGAGCCTTACCACTACGTTCAAGTCTGGCATGTCTCTCTATCGGAGATTGGGGGGTGAGGTCGCAGTGGAACGGAGACCCCAAACCGGGGAATCGTTTCGTTTCGTTCGTGTCGTGCGTGCGGGGGAGGCGAAGCTGCGTGGGCGCGCGATAGGAATGAACCCGCCGCTGCTAGGGCGAAGTCAAGGAAAATGATTCTCCTCCGCCGCCCGTCCGGCGGTGGCTTGAGCGGTGTCCCGCGGTGTCCCGTGGTGTCCTGTGGTGTCCGCCGTTGCTAGGGCGAAGTCCTGACAAATGTGTCTCCTCCGCCGTCCGTCTGGCGGTGGCTTGAGCGGTGTCCCGCGGTGTCCCGTGGTGCCCCGTGGTGCCCGCCGTTGCTAGGGCAAAGTCAAGGCACATGATTCTCCCCCGCCCGCCCGTCCGTCCGTCCGTCCGGCCGTGGCTCGCGGAGTCCCGCGGTGTCCCGTGGTGTCCCGTGGTGTCCCGTGGTGTCCCGTTGAGTGAGATCGATAGTGAGATCGATAGTGAGATCGATATTGAGATACTTACTGATATCGATATGGTGCCCCGAGGTGTCCCGTGGTGTCCAGTGGTGTCCCAAAAAGTGAGATCGATAGAGAGATTGATAGTGAGATGGAAAGGTGTCCCATGGTGTCCCGTGGTGTCCCGTTGAGTGAGATCGATAGTGAGATCGATAGTGTGATCGATGTGGTGTCCCGAGGTGACCCGTGGTGTCCTATGTTGTCCCGTTGATGGAGATCGAAGGGGGCTCGGTGTTTTGTGTGCTCTTCCGTGGTTGTTCCCCTGTGCGCTCCTCGTGCGCCTGGGCGCTGGTGGTGACAGACGGGATCTTCGTTTCTCTGGACGCCCGAAATGGGTACGGAAATAATGGGTACAATGCCCAACAAAGTGGGAATCGTGTGGGAATTGTGAGGAGTTCGTGGGCGAAAATGGCACTGTTGTCCCGGCCGCGTGGGCGATATCCCGCAGGCATATGGGCCAATATGAAAAATCTCCACCGCCTTCCGCCGCAGACATCTTTGGCCGGCCCAGGCGGCGCAGCAGGCACCGGGATCGGCACGAACGAAATGGGTACGGAAAGAGTGGGTACAATGCCCAACAGAGGTTCCTGTTCATTTTGAACAGGATTCGCTGTCCACGCCGCCGCGGCTTTTGTCCATTCGAGACAGAAGGCCGCCTGCCCAACAGCGACCGCTGTTGGTTTTGGGCAACATGTGTTGTTGGGCATTGTACCCATTCTTTCCGTGCCCATTTCGAGCGTCCAAAGTTTCCTCTTCCGCGTCTTACGCAGCGCTTTCACGGTAGTTTTAAGTCGGGCCTGTCCATCTACAGGGGAAATATTCAAAGTAGTCAAAAAATGGTCAGGGGACGATTGGGTCGCATTTCTTGACAATGTTTGAGTATGTTTGTTCTATGTTTTATTTTTGGTCCGAAATCCTCCTGGAGGGGGGCATGTCCGAACTAACTGCAGTTGCTTGACTGTGGTGCGGGCTCCCAGGCCACCGGCTAACATAGGTCATGGCAAAGAATGAACGCGCAGAAGCCGGTTGACTAAATCCAGAAACGGATGTTCTACACCCGGGTGCGTTTTTCTTATTTCCAGATCCTATCATCACCATGACCTGCGTGGCTCATTCACCAGGGGCTCTGCCAGCCTCGGGATGCTCTGCAGCTGCTGCGGCGCCTCGCCGAGGAGTGTTCTGGCTTTGCCCATGAGCGTCCTGGACGCCTGGACGGTCGCCGGAGACCCGAGCTACGTGGCGAAAGCCAGATTTTTCTGCGTCGCGGGAAAATCACGCTCTAAGGGCGTGTGCCAATCTCGGTACGTCTTTGGCCTCAGTTGGGGCCCAATCGACGGTTCGGATAAAAAAAGCTGGTCCCAGGGAAGGGTCCCAGAGCTGCAGGGGTCCACGGTCCACACTGTGAGACAGTACCAGCCTGGAACATATTCCTATCCCTATGCTGGGCACCTCCTCATCACGATGCCAATTTTATGGATTCCCTTATTTTTTGAGGGCGGACCCCTAAGATTGTCATCGCTTTTTGGCGTGTCAATCTTAGGGATAGGGGTACGTTCGAGGCTGGTAAAGACAGTCATGACGTCGGAGGTCTGAGGCCTTGATTGGGCCAGCGTTTGATGGAGTCGGAGGATCGCGCCGCACCGCCGGTGCATCGGCGATGCGTCGGCACCTCGGCACGATCCGTCGACACCATCTCATCTGGACCCATGGGCGCGGTCTGGACCAGCGCGCCCCTGTGAGATCGACCGCCGCCCCCGATGTGGGCGCCTCGCCGTCTTGATCCAACGAGGCTTGAGCCAGAATGGGTAATTACGCAGGGACGGGACGAGAAAGAGGATAGCGAGTGCCCGCGCATTGTATGTTCGCAATGCCGATGCGGTGGTTTGCAATTGTAGCTAATGGCAGCTCCATCGCGCAAGAGGCGTAGCGTTGCGTTTTTTCAAGTGCCAATTTCCGAGGGGCAGTCGGCGCAGAGTGCGCTCTGTATGAAATGAGAGCCGTTGGTGCAGAACCAGGGCCGCAGCTCAGAAAAAGAGATGTGCTCGACATTGCATGGCATACCCTCATCCATCCGCCCTGCCCGAAGCGTCCCAGCGTTGATCCATAAGGCTCCACACGCCTCCCCGCCTTCCGTGCGCAATTCATTGTGGACCTTGTCCAGACGAGCCCATTGGCTAACAGGAGAAGTAGGAGGAGGAGGAGGAGAAGGAGGAGAGGAGGATGAGGAGGAGGAGGCGGAGGAGGAGGCGGAGGAGGAGGAGGAGTCGGAGGAGGAGGCAAAGTACATGAAGGGAATAGGAGGAGGTGGAGGGAAGAGGATGACGAGAAAGACGGGCAAGGATGGCGCAGGAGGAAGGAGGAAGAGGATTAGGAGGCGGAGGAGTGGGAGGACCTATGGCCTCATTCTACATGGATGGCCAGTATGGGCAAATAGTCGGGAGCATCGTAAGTACAGCCGACGTGATGAGGTCGGGAGCCAGAGGAGGGCCTTCTTCCTCCCACGCTGTTCCTACCTCTCCGCCTCCTTCCCTCCTCCCTCCTCTTCCCTAACCGCCCCTCTTCCTCCCCAGACCTCCAGAGCCGTGTTTTGCTCATAACGTGGACCACTGGAGGTCTTGACCGGACTGAATCTGCCTGGCTCCAAGTAAGGGCCTGCCAGGCCAAGCATTGCCAAACACCTTCCGTCGTGAATGGCTCACAACATGATGGGCCCGTATTCCACCGCCACCACCATGAATCGGAGGGGGGAAGGAGGAGGCGGAGGACGAGGAGGAGGAGGACGAAGAGGAGGAGGAGGAGGAGGAGGTGGAGGAGAAGGAGGAGGATGAAAAGGAGAAGGACGACCCCCTCCCCCTCCGACTTATGGTGGTGGTGGTGGTGGTGGAAAACGGGCCCATCATAACAAGGGGAGGCGTGAGTCCCCCTCGTAGACTCCTCCTGTCGGGATCTTCTTCTGCGCTACTCCCCCAGCGGGCCGCCCCCCGCGTAGGTGGCCCCGAGGCCCCCCCCCCGCCTCCCCGCGCCGCCCCATTCAGGCTCACCCCGACGCCCACATCGAGGATGAAGAGGGGGGGGGGGGAAGAACGACCTCCTCTTTCGGGCCCCCGTCCGTTTCTCCCCCTTCGTACCTCGTCGGCCTCACCAGCGGGCGGACGAGCCCATTTTCGGAATGGCCCCCCTCTTGCGGCGCCATAGGGCACCCGCAGGAGGGGGCCACTGGCTGCACCAACAAAGTGGCTCAACGGCCACGAGCGAGCGAGCGAGGGGGGAAGAGAAGGCCAGGGACTAACATGCAGAGGAGGAGAAGGGCGAGGCGTGCGCTCCACCACCACCACCACAAGTTGGAGGGGGGGGGTCCTCCTCCTCCTCCTCCTCGTCCTCCTCCTCCTCCTCCTCCTCTTCGTCGTCCTCCTCCTCCTCCTCTTCGTCGTCGTCCTCCTCCTCCTCCTTCCCCTCCTCCTCGCGCCGAGAAACTCCATCGCGGGCACTCGGTGTGCTTTGCCCATGATCGGCTTCGGGAGGGGGGTCTCACAGGGCCCCGGTGGCCAGCCACGAAACGGCTCGGGACGAGAGCCAGGCCGCGGGGAAACGGTCTGGCCCAGGCCTCTGGGGGTCCACGTTGTGAGAAAGTACGGCGTCGAAGGTCTCGAATGGTGGTTCCACATGCTACGACGGATGCTTATTGGTTGCTTCAAAGACCCGTTTGCCACGCTTCCTGTGGGCCTGCCAAATTTCCGGCATGCTGAGGCGGAGGCTCACTTGTTGTTTCCACGGCCTGCTTGCCACGCTGCCTCTAGGGTTGCCGTGCTTCACGATGTCCGAGCCTCACGGCGCTGGGTGAGGAGGACGAGGAGCACGAGGCAGAAACGGACATGAAGGATGGACGTCGTGCACTCTTGTTGCAACGTGGATCCCGGGCAGTCCAGCCCTCTTCCCCAGAACTGGTTTTTCATCTCAAGTCGATCTTGTTGACGGCCACGGGGCCTGGTAAGGGTCCCAGGTGCCGAACACTGAAACAAAAACACAACATCTGTATTGTTTGTTTCGCCGTCGAGGAGGCTTGACTTTCGGAGCACAACTCGGGCCTCCGCCGGCCGTTCTGGATTATCGGGGCACCTCCAACACGCTCTTGGCGAGGCTCCTCCTCCTCCTCTTCCTCCTCCTCCTCCTCCTCCTCCTCCTCGTCCTCCTCCCCCTCCTACTCCTCCTCCTCCTCGTCCTCCTCCTCCTCCTCCTCCTCCTCTTCCTCCTCCTCCTCCTCCTCCTCCTCCTCCTCCTCCTCCCTCCTCCCTCCTCCCCCCCCCCTCCTCCTCCTCCTCCTCCTCCTCCTCCTCCTCCTCCTCCTCCTCCTCCTCCTCCTCCTACACTTCTTCCCCGAGACGGTGTCTTCTCATCCCGAGTCGTCTTGCCTCCAGCCTGGGACCCGTCCTGGGCCCCTAGAGGGCCAAAACACGCCCACCAGGACATCTCGTCGTGGTCTACGCCACCACGCTAATTGGGATGTCTGGGCAAGGGCGCCAGGAGGAGGAGGAGGAGGAGGAGGAGGAGGAGGAGGAGGAGGAGCAGGATGAGCAGGAGGAGCCCCACGGTTCCTTTCTCAGCCCGTTTGGCATCTTCGCCCGTGCGGCCGCCGAATGGGCAGCCCGACGGGCTCAGTTCTGATAGGGTTGACTCGCCTCAAGCACCTCCTCCTCCTCCTCCTCCCTACTCCTCCTCCTTCTCCTCCTCCTGCTTCTCCTCCTCCTCCCTCCTCCTCCTCCTCCTCCTCCTCCACCTCCTCCACGACCAGGTGAGCGCATACTTCATGCCCCTGCGTGCCCACCTCTCTTTTTGTTCCCTCTCTGTTGCCGTCTGTTGCCCAACCGCGCTCGCCTAGGTCAAACTTGCTGGCCTTTCAATATGCCGCCTTTTCGGTCTCATCCCAACGCTACGATTTCGGTCGTTCTGAGTTTGCCCAACGTCACGGAGGAGGAGGAGGCGGAGGAGGAGGAGTAGGAGGCAAGTTCTGAGTTGCTCATGTGCCTACGGACACGCGGCTTCATTCATTCATTCATTCACGGAGGAGGGGGAGGAGGAGGAGACGGAGGAGGAGGAGGAAGAGGAGGAGGAGGAAGAGGAGGAGGAGGAGGAGCAGGAGCAGAAGGAGCAGGAGGAGGAGCGGGAGGAGGTGTAACACCAGCAATCGAGGTCACCTTTGTCCACCTGGAGCACCAGCCCGCGGCGCGGCTTGGCTTCGCGCTGCTGCGCTGCCTGCCGTGCGTTTTGCTGGGCGTGGGCGTGCCCGCGGTGGTCGTCAGCATCGTCACGATGGAGGGCCCGGTGCCCGGGCGATCGCCGCCAGATTTTCTCGCGCCTCCCCCAGATCCCTGACGATGTGTGTGTGTGTGTTGTCTTCGCTTCACGCCAACTGGGTTCTCACCAAGACATCATGGCGTCATGCAAATGGCACGACGGACCATTATTCCATATCTGCGGCCTCTGGGGGCCCTCGCCTGCCCTTGGGACGATGCAAGAAGCGACTTGGGATGAAAAACGCTGATCTTGGGGAAGGGGTCGGGACGTCTTTCCTTCGAGCGCATACCAGCAGCCTCCTGTGGGCCGCGGGCTCTTCCCGGCAGACTGGGAGAATCCGTTTGGAAGGATCGATGTATATATGCATACTTATGTGTGCATCCACCTATACATGAACATGTGCCTATACATGCGCATGCACATAGCCATGTACATGCACATATACACACGCAGGTGTCATACATACATACATACATATATACATACATACATACATACATACATACATACATACATACATACATACATACATACATACATAAATACATACATACATAAATACATACATACATACATACATATATACATTCATGCATTCATACCTTCATACCTTCATACATTCATACATTCATACAGTCATACATACATACATACATACATACATACTTACATACATACATACATATATACATACACACATACATACATCCATACATACATACATACATACATACATACATACATACGTACATACATGTTCATTGCTATACACTACTTAGACATGTAAGTACAGCTATACCTATACACATGCACGTGCATCTACCAACCCGCATGCACATTTGCAGACCGAATCCTACACGCATCTATCTCAACAACAAATACGCATACGTACACTGTACATGTACATGCACACATACACATACACATACGTTTGCAGCGAGACAGAAATCGACATACATACATAGATATATTTATATACATATATATATATAGTTACATCATATATATACATATGTCGATAGCCAACTACATACACTTCGACTATACACAGGTCTGTGTATATACATATATGAACACGTAGATGGGACCACCAGCTGTCTGCCAGCAGCTCAGCGAGCCCCGTAGTTTGTCACATGCAGATCTGGCAGGGCGGCCGCTGGACGCCCGTCCTGTGCGCGCGCTCTTGGCCTCCCCCTGGGGTCGAAGGATGCCTTCGGTCCTGTGACGCAGGAGGGGAGGGTGGGAGGGAGGGGGAGACGAGGGCGGGAGTCTGAGAGGGGGACACGCTGAGCCGGGATGGAGGGGCAGTCGCGTGAGGCTTCCCCGCCGCCGACCGGCGATGGAGGGTGGTCTCACGGTCTCAGCGGGTCGGTCCGCCACGAGCGGCGGGCGACCTCGCGCAGCAGCCGCCGCGGCGCATGCGGGTCTAATCCGGGTCGCGCGGCCCCCGCGGCACCGCGACGGAGCCGCCTGGAGCGCCCGCGTTGCGGAAGCCAGCGCGGGCCTCCTCCGGGGGGGCGGGGCGCAGCCTTACCATCCTGCCCGCAAGATGGCGCGACAAGAGGAGAGGTACCTGCTGCACGTGTTCAAGGCAGATTTCCTCATCAGCACGGCGCGCCGCTTGCTCCCAGGCGCAGATTTGGCCAGCCACATGCAGGAGCTCCCGTACGAGGCGCTGGAAACGACGACCTTGCGATACGGGGCAGCAGTGGCCTTCTGGCCCTGCGATTCTGGCCTCGCGGCCGGATGGAGGCAAGAGCTGTCCGAGACGGAGCGGGTCCAGTAGCTCGTGCCGTCGCGCCTCGGCGGTCGTGCACAACGGAGCCGGCTGCCGGGCCCACGAGCGCGCGCTGCAGCACTGCGGCCAGCGCGCGGCCCTCCTCGACAGCCACGATCTCGAGAACAACTCGATCGAGTTCGCGGGGCTGCCGGCGGTGGGCCGCGGGGGCGGCGAGGCGGAGGGCGCCCGCGGAGCCCGCCTTGAGGACCCGGAGGAGTGGCGGTGAGCGCAGGACCACGTGGAGCAGAGTTCGACGCGCTGGTCGCGGAAGAGCTGGACAGGTGGGGCCTCCACCGCGGCACGTGGCGAGCGCAGCCAGAGCAGGTCCTGCAGGCGGCAGCGGACCTGGCTTCCTGGCTGCGGAGGTCGTCCAGCTGCTTGGCGGTCGTGTGCGGCGGCTTGCTCTGGTCGGTCAGGCCGCAGGCCCCAGCTGCCGACCGGGCCCCCTCGGACGGCCTCACGCGGCACGGGAACGCCGGTCCCGGGAAACCCAGACCCCCGACGTCGTGATTTTTTCATGACGCGACCCCCAACGGTCTGGACCCATTCCCTGGGACTGGTTTTTCATCCTGAGTCGTTTTTTTTGACGGTTTGACGGTCCCGAGAGCCGGTCAGGGCCCCTGGAGGCCGAAAATAGTGAAAAACCTTCCGTCGTGAGCTTTCCCTGACTCGAAGGGGTCTGGGAACGGAGCCGGCGTCCGCTGGAGCAGAGGCTAGGGCAGCGCGCCCTATGGAGCTCCTCAGTTGCGACTTAGCTGCGGCCGAGCAGAGCCTGCCTTGGCAAACCGCCCGCGGCGGGCTGAGGTTCCCGGACGTTGTGGAGGTCCTGGGCCACCACCCGCCTGCGTTCTCCCGCAGGGAGGAGGAGGAGGAGGAGGAGGAGGAGGAGGAGGAGGAGGAGGAGGAGGAGGAGGAGGAGGAGGAGGAGACGAGAGCAGGAGGAGGACGAGGTGAGAGGAGCAGGAGGGTCAGTGGAAGGCAGAAGCAGGGGGCAAGAGGGGGCGCACATAACCAGGGACGATTCGGACTCCTGAGGTGTCTAGTTCGCGCTCCGGGCGAGATCGTTTTTGTAGCGACGGGGTCAATTTACCGATCCTGAACGGTGGCCCGCGCTGCAGCGGGAGCACTTTTTCTGCATGGCCGAAGAGGCGTTTAGTAGAAGAAGCCGAATCGAAAACCAACTCGGGCCAATCGCTGCGTGAGAAAAACATGCTGGATTGACAGGGGAACATGTCGACAACACGAGGTGGGGAAATATGTATATAGTGCATATGTGGAGCCGCCAAAGGGGAGAAGGGTGGCGTCAGACCCACACTTATCATTGAAAGCGTATTACGGCAGTATTGTGTTCCCCATCGTTTGCTCCTGTATGTTTTCAGCACCGCCAGCAACACACAACCAGTTTCGAGGAACATGTCCAGGCCCCTCGGGGTCGTTGTTGTGAACACACATCAACGTTGGAGATTCGGTGGGAAGGAGTATTCCTCCCTCCCTCGTTCCCCCTACATCATGTGCTTCACTCCTCCCTCAGCCCCTGCTTTCGGAAAAGGGGAGCGAGGATGAGGATGATGCAAGAACCTGATGGAGGCAGGAACCTAACGTGGCAGCTCTTTCACTGAAAGGGTTTTTGGAGGTGTTGTGGAAAACTGCCCCTGGCTATCGGCAGTTCTGCACGCTTCGCGTATCCCCTGGATGGCATTTGTGGTAGTCGCTCGCTGTCGCTCTCTCCTCCGTCCCCCCTTCGTGCTCTTGTTCGCTCTCTCCCCCCTCTTTTGCCCCCGTCTGTGGTTCGGCTGGAGCTTGGCGCCGAAAGGGCGACTTCTCCCCCCCGTCCCGCCGCCGGTCGCCGCGCCTCTGCGTCCCCACCAGCTGGGATGTCTGAGTCGGTCACCTCTGAATGAGGGTCATTTTGTCCCTGGCATGTGCACGTGCCACTGCGGCCTATGCGCCACGGCATATGCCACCGCGGCCAATTAGCTTCGTTCGCGCCCCGTTCGATGCTGACCCGCTTCCTGACCTTCGCCAGGGAGCCGCCGACCAAAAAGTACCCCCTGGATATCGGCAGTTCTGTACGCTTCGCGGCCCGGCCCAGCTTACCTGGCTGGTCTACGCCGTCGACACGGTCTTGGCCCTTGGCGCCCCCTGGCGACTCGTCCATCGTATA